TATTTTTCGCGGAAAGTTGTGATTGAAAAAAATGCCAAGAGGATTATCAGAGGTTTTACGAGCTAGAATAGTAACTTTGAGGGAAGAAGGATACACCACGAGAGTAATAGCACGCAGACTTGCTATATCCCAATCCTGTGTCGTGGCTACGTTGCAGAGGTATCACGGAATGGGGAATTTAGCTGACCGACCCCGCAGCGGTCGCCCAACTGTTTTGACAGCTGCCCAAAAGCGCTATATTAGATTGCTGGCAGCCCGTGATCCAACAATCAACGCTACTAAAATAAAAGCAGAAGTCAGGGCCGCCTCTGGGCTTGAAGTTAGCACGCAGACCGTTCGCAATTGCTTGCACCAGGCTGGATTACGAGCACGGAGGTCTTGGCGAGCTCCGCTCAATTCCCGGCAACGTCAACAACGAAGATTGCAGTGGGCTAGACTTCGGCAAAATGAAGAAGGTGAGGACGAAAACATTTGGCAAAACTGTCTCTTCGTTGACAAATCCCGAATCAGCACTCATCCAGATAACCGACGTGTCCGTGTCTGGAGAAGACCAGGCGACCGTGAAAGACAAAGAACTGCCACTGGAACAGTTCAGCAAGGCGGAAAATCGGTGTCCTTTTGGGGTGGCATTATGATTGGAGCTAGAACGCCTTTGATCCCGTATCGGGGCTTCATGACAGCAGACATGTACAAAGCAGTTGCTATTGATGATATCGTCAGTTCATTCCGAGTAAACCATGGGCACCAATTTGTACTGGTCGAGGATAATGCGCCCGCACATCGAGCTCAACGAGTCAATGCTGCTCTTCAAGAATACGATATCACACGATTAGACTGACCTGCCGGCTCGCCCGACTTAAACCCAATAGAGCACGCGTGGGATGCTCTTAAACGAGCAGTATGGAACCGTGAGCCACGTCCCCAGACAGTTCCTGAGCTCAGGGAAGCCGCTATTGAAGAATGGGATAGGTTACCCCAGGAAATGCTGGATAACTTGATCCTCAGCACGCCCAGGAGGATCTTCGCATGTATTCGAGCCAGGGGAGGAGTTATTTTATATTGAATTCACACCTTTTAATAATAAATTGTTGTTTAAGTTTAATTAAACAGTCTTTTTCTTTCTATGAAATTTCTATCACTATTACATTATGATTAATGGCTCAATTTTTTAAAATAAATAATAAAAAATAGTTTTATATTTTAATTTCAAACAGGGTATTCCTATTTAAAGAAAGCATACAACATAGATCTTTTCTTGATAAAGTTAAATTTAAAGAATTATAGGAGCTTATGCTATTGATCGCAAACTTTTTTTGATGTGTGTATGTATTAATAATAATTATAACAAGCTAATGGATAATTTCACAAAAAATACTTGAATATCAATTCAATAAAAATTTAATTAGATACCTACCAATAGTTATTGGAAATATGATGACGGCCTCCGTGGTATGTAATATTTTGTCCCAGCCTATTATATGTATATACACGGTTCAGTCAAGTCACGTGTTCGACTCCAATAGAACTGTCAATATCACTCCTTTGGGACGGAATGCCATTATTGTTAGGTTAGTGTTGTATAGGTTTCGTTTTTGTTACGTAAACCACGTATACCCTACACTATACTATTGTAGGATCAAACACTGAACTACAATGTAAAATATGGCCAAGGCAAGTGTACGCATTAAAGTATACTTTTCTTGCAAATATAAAATAGCATATTTATTTAATATAGTTTATTTATCGGGTTCGATTTCCGAGCCGGGAGAAATATTTGTATGGCCTACATTGACTTACAAATAAATGGACGACGGGTCTAATACAAAAACCACGAAAAAAATGTCCCAAGTCAACCTATTCGAAATTTAAATTGTAATGTCATCGCAGTATCGCGCTGTCAGTCGAACAAATGAAGACTAAAGCGGAGTTTGGCGCTCTGTATACGATTTTAGCGCCTTACAAGTGCGGACACTTTTTAGCGCGGACCCGACGTCCATATTATTGTAAGTCAATGATGGCCTACATTTATTTCTCTCGTGAGAGTAATTTCTGGTTGTCGATATGTGTGTCCATGGCACCCGCGACAAAGGGTCTCCCTAAGGTGGGGCTATGAGTGTGTACATAAAAAAACAAAACAAAAGTAGTATCAATATTAATATTAGACATAACTGGTTGAAGACTGTACCACCTCAGTCAATCGTGACCATGAGACCTGCAAAGGGCCCGAAACGTCGGTTTGTTTGAAAAAACAAATATACGCGATTTAAATCCGGAAAAATAGTTTCATTTCCTAAACAAAAGTAGTATTTTTTTAAATAAAGAATTTTCATAATTAGTTACACTATTCACGTTTTTAACTGTATGTAACTGTAATAACTACATATGTATAGGTACACTATTACTAGCAGTAGAGCTCCTTGTGAAAGAGTTCGTCCAGGGAAGTTCTGCCACCTTACCTATTTCTGCCGCCAAGCAGTAATGTGAGCATTACGGGACTTGTCAACTTATGTCTCAGGGTAATGGGCACAGTGTCTCTCGGATCTTCGCGATTTAAACCTCTGAGTGGCACTGCAACTGCCGTGGATGCCAGGCGTGTCGCTTATCACCAGGCGCACGACTTGTTCGTCCCGTCACTTGATATTATAAAAAAAAACTCATCACTTTTTCTAAATAAATTCGTTTGAATAACATCTTAAAATATAAATAATATATTTGAAACATGTTATATTGGTTATTTTTTATGCAAAATGCATTGAAACCAACTATAGTAAAAACACCATGAAATTAATTTAATCAAACAAATAATGTTACTTAAATATGCGTGCGGCGGCGGAACTTACACTCGAGATGCTTTGACCGTAAGTTTATCTGTTGTAACGAAATTATTATGTATGTAATTTAAGTATTTACGTATGACAATAAAGTAGTATGTGCCTATACCACTATGAAGAACTACGCTGGTGCAAAATATTGTCGCATTCTGCCGGGACTCTCAATTTAAGTATTAACACATTAGTGTTGCTGTCTCTACCTATTTAATTTTATTATACTTACGATTACTTACCAGATAAATCACAGTAAGAAATGATTGTTATATCCAAATGTGGCTAAAGTGGACATTTCAATGGTCTAATGGATTGGCATCGTGCCAACCTGCTGGAAACATGTCGCCGATACGTTAGTGTTTATTTTGATGGATACGCTTTTCTCGGGCCGATACTTATTGCGATAGATGTTTCTTAATGTTACAAAATTTATATATTTAATATATCTTTTTGTTTCATAGCTCTTTTAAGTTGAGTAAGAAATATTTTTACATTACAATTTTACGTTGCATTTTAAATTTTTACATTATATCTCTTAACTCAGAGTGCCTCTTGGCATAGACCTCCTCCAGATCTTTTCAGTGTGCTCTATCAAGAAATTTCTAAAAAAAAGCAATTGAAACATACATAGGAAATGAAACTATTTTTCCGGATTTAAATCGCGTATATTTGTTTTTTCAAACAAACCGACGTTTCGGACCCTTTACAGGTCCCATGGTCACGGTTGACCAACCTATGTGTAACAATCGCGAAAACCTAAGAACTTGAAACATACAGCCTATCCTGACCATAGACAACGTAATCGACATTTTTAGCGAAATTGAGTTATATCTGGAACACAGGCCACAATCTGGAACCAGTGAATCGAGATCTACAACCCTATAGGCGATTTTTTTGTACCTCACATTTACTTTTAGTTTTATTGTTAAGCGTAATCGACATTTTTTAAAGAAAAAGGAAAATAATACTTTAGCGGCCAATATTTCGAAAGTTATCCAAATGCAAATGACAAGGACGGCAGATACCACAGAAATCTTAAATCTAAACAATGCCAATTTATTTAGATTTATGTGGCAGATACTATCACGCCTGTCTCCCATTGGCCTAGGTAGAGATCATGAACCTCTACTCGCTAAGCTTCTGACAAACTACTTTCGCCTTCTGCATTGGCAGATTTATATGCGACTGTAATACTTAACAATGAACCTATTTCTGTAACAGTGGGAATGAAAATCATAGTTCAACATACAATAATACTACTAGGTATAATTTTTTTTCTAAAGCCATCCAGTTTTAATAATTTTGTCACAATCAATGACATTTTCTTAAGTATAAAATCATTGCTCATATACTTTTTTAAATTAACGGATGAATGGATTTGAAAAAAAGATTCCCTCGATGCTCACTACCAATTATAATAATTGTAACTTTTTCATTGAAAAAAAAACCGACCTCAAAGGTTTGCATAACGACTTTTTTCCATTTCCATGGGACCCCCCCGACTCAGACTGACTGACTTCTGACTTCTTGGTGATAATAGGACTGTTACGGACTCCTTTGTACGTTTTATACTTTTTTCTGGTTGTCGTGGTGATTACATGTATTGTGTCAAGTGAAAAGTCGACTTTTATTTGCGGAAAATAATTAGTAATTTGTGATAGCCGAAACGAAACCGAAACAGCTTCGTTGGCATTAGGGGCCACCTCGAGAGTATACCCTTCCAAACAAAAAAGGAATTTTTTAAATCGATTCACAATTGATTGAGAAATCGGAGAGTATAGGTACTCACATGCATATAAAATTTGAGGATTTCCCTTGATTTCCATGGGATCCCCTCATCAGATTCTGACTTGGCGACAATGGGACCATCACGAGAATTTTCAAAATCGGACGAAGAAATCGGAAAGCATACATACAGCCGAACGTATAACCTCCTACTTTTTTTGAAGTCGGTTAATAAAAAAATAACGGGTTTTTATAGTTACAGTTTTTACACGAATACGAATTCGTTACTTATACCTCGTGGACAACAAAACGTTTTTGACAGATCACAGATCCAAGATGTCACTGACAAGAACAGCTGACGTTAAGAGGAGCTGTCAAAACAGACAAAAATCGAGTTTTAGCGATTTTCGTTTAATGAAACGTAATAATATTCAATTAAAAGCAAAATTCAAATTTGCCTTATAATCGTTCTATGACTCTATTCAACCAACTCGTTTAATTTTCGCCACCATGTCTGAAGGAGGCAAACCGTCACTACGAATAGATTGGTTTGATGGCACTCTTATCGAAGATACATTGCAAAATACCATTTCAAGTACTGCATCTTTCGTTGATGAAGACCAGCCAGAGCCACAGCCTCCACCCAAGCCCACATTCAGTGAAAAAAAACCCATTGGCTTCAAAAGATTACTTGACTTTTCGACCCTCAAGCCTCCTATTCTAACCTTAGAGATTGCTCACAGACCTGGCTTCTGGAACCTGTTAGACGGAGAATTAAAAGATGATTTCATTGTTCTTATAGTGAAAATACTGGCGGCTATATACAAATCGTTAGTGCCAGGCGAAAAATCGAAAATAACCTCAATGTTGAAGACTAGATTTGAAAAGTCGAATTTTCTGGAAATTTTAAAGGAATACTTAATTGGTTTACCTAGCATTAGAATTGCAGAGAAATGTATGAATATGCATCTTTGGAATGACGTGCAGTTGTTTTATTCTGAAGTCTATATGCTGTGTGAAGGGATTATCAATTACGGTGGCAGTAGTGTAGAGTTTTTAAAAAATATTTATGATTTATTGGAGATTTTGGAGACCAGCGCTGTTGGAGTGAAAGAGGAACATACTGAAACTATTAGTGACAACTTTTTTGAACAAATTCAGGGGCTGAAATCTAGACTTATGAAATTGATAAATAAGGTCAGTAATAAAAGTAAGGTCACTTAAGTAAAATTCATATCACTGAAAAACTTGTTCGGACTGTAACAAATGGGCAGTATGAAAATGGGACTTAAGAATTTTTATTTTGTTATAAATTGTTCTTAATGCTAGTTTCTGAAGGAAGTCCAGTTTTCATAGCCCCCTTTCATAAAGTCTAAAAAAACTGAAATACTTTACTATGCCTTACTTTCGTCATCATCGTCATCCACAGCCTGATTTCACCCACTTCCTTACTTTACGTGCCACTTTTTATTTATTTAAAATGATGAAACACCTCTATAAATTACATCTTAATTATGAAATATATGACAAGTTGATAAGGGCTGACCAGAGCGAACCTACACACACAACCAAATTCAGAATTTTCTAAAGAAAAGCGAGATCAAGAGTACCCTTAACCAATGAGTATGTATATAACAGCGGCTACATTGATGAGCATATTTACATAAACTCAGATAGTCAAGCGGCTCTACATGCACTAGCCCCAGTCACCCAAACATCGAGGATTGTAGAGAACTGTGTAAATATACTGAACACTCTCGAGGAAAGTAATACAGTGGTACTGCGCTGGGTTCTAGGTCACTCTGACATCGAGGGTAATGTGTCAGCAGATAAACTGGCAAAGGCTGGTGCTAGGGAAACCTTTATTGGACCTGAACACTTCATAGGGATAGCATACAGCCTGGCATAGCTCACTCTGCTAAATGAGAGCACACACCTCTCCCGAGAATTATTGCTACAGAACAAGGGTCTTGAGCATTCAAAAACCCTGATATCTGCCTACAGTGCCAAACTCTGTAGAGAAGCTCTGTCACTGGACAGGAATGGCATAAGAATGCTCACTAGAGCCTTAACAGGGCTTTGTGGCTTAAACAACCACATGTCAAATATTGGGCAGAGAAAGAATAGAGAATGTAGATTCTCCCCCAAGGCGGATGAAACTCGTGTTCATCTATTCACCCAATGCTACCCCTAATGGGCGTAGTTCCTTACTGGCACTACGCCCATTAGGTAGACACATGCCACAACCAGAGGACTTTAAATCTGTCAGAGCCAGGAAAGTCCTTCAGTTCTTCAATGCTGTCGGCCTTAGCCCTGCACTGTAATTAGTGGTAATTGCAATAGATCAGTCAATGGTTGCAGTGATGAGGGGATGCAGGTCCCGAATGATGCCACCTTATAGTAATAATAATAATGTATGGAAGCATTGATGCATGTTGATGAGGCAAAACATGTCTGTTAGGATTGTAGCAAGTGGTAGGCTGTTATCTCTGTCTACCCTGATAGGCAGGAAGTGTATATATGTCTATATTAGGCATGCACGATTTTTTGCTTTGAATCGATTTTTTGGATCATAATTTATCATATATGCCTCTGGATTGAACCACAGATGGATTATATGCTCTTGAATCAACCTCATAAATATCGTTTCTAAATTAATTTGGATAAAAAAAATTATAACAGCCTCTTTGGCTTCAGTCAGTTATGACTTTCATTTAGGGTGATACTAGGTAGTGAAAAAAGATGTTCAGATCGCACAGAAGTAGCGACCTTTGTCAAATATTGTAGACTTGTTGTATTTAGATGTTGCGAAACTGCTTTTCTTGCAGGCCAATATGAAATAGGGGTTCAGAAAGAGACTGTTTTGTTTAAATTATGAATACGATCTGGATATTCGAATCACCTTAATGTTGAATCAATTTACTTAATAATCATATTGAAACGAATCGAGACAAGAAATCGCTGGATTGTATACACTTGAATTCTACATAAAAATCTAATCGTAATGTGCATCCATAGTCTGTATCGGACTGTAATTATTCTACAATTAATAAATCTCTTTGAAATTTTCAGGACCCCATAGATGAAGCTTCCAGTTTAAAGTTAGAGCTACAACCGAAAGATCCACATCACTTCAAGAATCTTTCTATATTCCCCTCAAAAGAGGACTTACTTCAAAAGAACAATATAAAAATCAAACCAAATATTGTTAATGGTGCATACCCAAGTGTCGAACAATATTTAGATGTACAATTCAAATTGTTAAGAGAAGACTGTTTTGGACCACTTAGAGAAGGAATATGTGAGTAAAAGTAGTGACGTAAGGGTTGGATTTCAATTACCAGCGGGCTTCAGCACTGCATCCACACTAAATGTAAAGTATTGGCTTCACTCTTGATGATGGAGCGTGCTGTTGACATTCCATGTAACATACATTGCACTCTCAATAATAAAGTTGATACTTTACTATATAAATACAAAAACTAATTTTTGGGAACTAATACAATATTATTAAAAGCATGAAGGTACAATACACCTGACATTGTATGCTATTTGGCTAATAATAAACATAACATATGTGTAGGAAATGACACTGTTTTTCCGGATTTAAATCGCGTATATTTGTTTTTTCAAACAAACCGACGTTTCGGGCCCTTTACAGGTCCCATGGTCACGGTTAACAAATATACGTGATTTAAATCCGGAAAAATAGTTTCATTAACTATGTGTAACAATCGCGAAAACCTAAGAACTGGATAACATATATGTGTTTGAAACTATGAATAACTATTGTTTTTCTTTATATATTTTTTCAGATCCCAAAGAATTTTTTTTTCATTTAATCACTCAATAAAAAAAATCAATAACAAATTGAAAATACCACATGTTTAGTATGGAAGCAGTACGCATGCTTGTTGACAAGTGTGATACAACCTTTATAAGCCAGGTTATTATATTCTCAAATATCCATTTCACAGTACATCCACTGTGCTACTAAAAACAACATTGTGTTACTATAAACAAATGTTTAAACTGGAGATAACATTATTGTATTTCATTTAGGCAAATATATGGAGAATCCGTCAAAGAGGAGACATGAAAACATAAGGTTTGTAAAAGAAACTTCATTATTATGTTATTATATAATAATCCACTTATTCTTCTTTCTTCATCCATTTGTATTGAAGCTAAACAAAGTAAGTATTTACAACTTTCCAGAGTATACCCAAGAGTTCGTATCCTCCGAACGTACATATCAAACAACAAAGTTGGTCATCTAGTGGACATAGCCTGGAATGAACGCATCACCACTGGTCTAGTCGACAATAAAAAACTGGTCTATAACAAACAGCTCATGTTTGGATCACTTCTACTGTTTACTAGTGATCAATTTGAAAAAATACTTTGTGCCACTGTATTAGATTCTGGAATGAATTTGCTTAGTGAAGGATATGTAAGTATAAACTTAATTTAATTTTGATTGATCTGTTTTTACATTAGAAAAACTCCGCAACGGTGTGGATACCCCCAAATTAATTTACAATAAAGAAGCGGTGCGGGTGATATCACCTTATGACTATAGCCCACACCGCAGCCGGTACCCTCTTAACTATACTTATAGTCGGTGATTTAAATTCTTTCATTTCATTCATTTCAAATTATACCATGTTCTGAAGTCTATTCGAGCGCTTTTCTATGCCATTACATTATAAATCCATATAATTTTGAATCTTTATAATGTTGAATCCATACTGTTTTGCATGGAGTACAATATAAAGAATTTATGGACACATAGAATAACATTTTAAAATTGTTACTTTCAGATAGCAGTGTCATTTCATAATGCAGTATCAAACAAGATATTCTCTGAGCCATACTTAATGGTGGAAAGTGAAGTATTCTTTGAACCTTATCACAGAGTATTAAAAGTGATGCAGAGTTCTAGGTTGGATGATTTACCTATGCGCAGATATATTGTGGATGTCCAGGTAACTATAAAATTAACAAGTTTTTAAAGATAATTAGTTACTTTTAATATGAAAAATATAAATATGTAAACGTGCAAGTTTTGATACATAGGGCGCTCTATAAGTTTCCGGAACTGGCCACTTACATAAACAATATTTAAAAAGTAATTACAACATTTGATAATGGCACTCTTTGGCTGTACAATACAGTTTGTTTCATCTGACTGTCATTTATTTTTAAATTGTGGCGTCATTTTAGATTGGTTGTCTACATCACCATAGATTTAACTCGTGAACATTTTCGTAGTATGACTTTCTACGACTTTAAGTATAATCTAACAGCTCAGCGGAGCTTCGCTCGGCTTCAAACTGCTTTTGGCGATGAAGCACCATGCAAAACGACTATATTTATAGTTGGTTTGCAGAATTCAAACGTGGTCGTGTGAATCTCAGTGACGAATTTCGTGATGGTCGCCGGTCCACTGCTGTGAACAACAAAACCATCGATTCTGTGCGCCGTATAATCAAAACAGATAGGCATGTGACATACCATGAGATTCGGGTGTCTTTAGGCATAGGCATGAGTCAAATACAATCAATACTACACAAACATTTGGGTGTGAAAAAGCTGTGCTCTCGGTGGATCCCATACAATTTGACTGAAGCTCAAAAAACGGAACGCGTCACTTGGTTCAATGCCATGCTTACCAGGTTCAACGAAGGGGCGTCAAATTTGGTGTGGGACATAGTAACAGGTGACGAAACATGGATTTATAGTTACGATCCCAAAACAACGTAGCAATCGAGCGTATGGGTCCTTCGAGATGAGCCGAAACCAAACAAAGTGTCGCGCGTGCAAAGTGCCTCTAAGCGAATGATTGCTTCTTTTTTTTAATAAAACTGGACACGTGGCTACTGTTGTACCGTGAATAGTGATTGGTACACGACCATTTGTTTGCCGGAAGTTATTGACAAACTCCGTAAAAATAACCGTAAACGCTGTATCATCTTGCACCACGATAATGCCAGTTCTCACACGGCCAGACAGACAAATGAATTGTTGTAAGTGAACAACGTTGACCTTATGAGCCATCCCGCGTACAGTCCCAACCTGGCACCTTGTGACTTTTATTTATTTCCAAAAATTAAGAACCAGTTACCCGGTTTACGATTTTCATCACCTGAAGAGGCTGTCGAAGAGTATGAAAAATATGTTTCAGAGATTGTCACGGAGGAGTGGCATAAATGTTTTCAAAATTGGTTCATTCGTATGAAAAAGTGCATTAACGCTAACGGAGAATATTTTAAAAAACAATAAATTCATTTCTGACCATTTATAGTATTTTTTTCTTATTCATTCCGGAAACTTGTAGTGCGCTCCACGTACACCAACAAAACTTTTTAAATTTTGTATTAGTCAAATTATCAAGCTACATTGGCAAAACACGAGTGCGGAATGATTTATGTAGATTCATTATTGAGTTATAGATTATGTTGAGGTGTGCGTTATTATTATTATTATTATTGTTATTTATTATTATTAATTAATTAATTATGTAACAATTACAGAAAGAAACCCAACCACCGGCCTATCTAACAGAGGAAACATTGTACACAATTCAGGCACCAAATAAAGAGGAAATCACTTTTCCGGTACTCTCCAAAGATTGGCCTCAAGCTTACGATATGGATCATTCTCAAATGGACGCATACACCTTAGCATTAACTAGAGAATTCGCTGTCATACAAGGTCCACCAGGTACAGGAAAGACTTTCATTGGGATTAAAATCGCCACTACATTGTTAAAGAACTTGTCCCTAGAAGGCACACCCATGTTGGTAATATGTTATACAAACCATGCACTAGATCAGTTCCTTGAGGGAATCCTCGAAGTTACTAACAATATGGTTAGATTGGGCAGCCAGAGTAAGAGTAAAATTTTAGAACCTTACAATTTAAACAATATGAGAGGTAGAATAAAGTCAAAATACTCTCATTTGTACGGAAGTAAAAGATCGGAATTGGAGAAGATAGTCAAATGCATGAGTGAAATCCAAACGGAAATTGAAAAGTGTGAAAAGGAAGTTCTGACATACAAAAGTGTTAAGAAGTACCTAAAAGGTAACGAGTTGAAGAGTAACAAAGAAGATCCTATATTACCATGGCTTTTTGAACATGAAGAAGATAAATTCGACAAGCTACTTCAAGATGATGAGGAATCTGATGATTGGGAGAAAGTTCCTGAAACAGAAGACGAGGATTTAAAGTTAGAAACGTGTTTTTCGGAAGAATGGGCTTTAAAGGAAATAGATTCTATGTATAATAGCATAAAATATGTAAAGGATATCAACGACGATCAATATGAAGGAGAGAAGATGACGGATAGATTTGAGACGCAAATCAGGAAAGTTAGAAGTCGAATGAACTGTTTCAAGGTATGACTTTCTCAAAAATATTTTATTAATTATAACACCATACTTAAAATTTTATAAAACGCCTAGTAGTACAAATTGTTTGCAATGGTAATCTCAGTCGTAACATGAGCTTTGTTAATGTGATTAATATAATATTTCGATTATATTCTTCAGAAAAAGAGACCGTTCCTCCAAAAGGAAGACAATGAAAACATAGAAGTCAAAGAAGTAAAAGATTTGTACAGCTTGACACCAGAAGAGAGATGGAATGCGTACTTTGCAACTGTGAGAAAGATCCAAGGTGAACTTATGACCAGGATGAACGTTTTGTTGGTAAATCCACTTTAATAAAGTTCTACTATTATAATAAATACCTCTTCTATTTACTCGACTGAAAGCTGGCCCAAAAAAGGTATTAAAATTATTATAGTATTAATATTTGAATATTCCCACGTTACTGTTAGGTTATAACAGCTGAAAAGTTTGATTTATCTGATGCCTCGTTACACAATTTTAAGGAACTTATTTCTTTAAATGATAGCAAGTACATTGATATCATAAATCAATACTAACGCTTAGACTTCAGGGCCTAATAGTAAATTATTTACATTATCTGATGGATTATAACAGTTGTTGCTCAATTTATGTTTCCGTTCCTTGGCTGTCCAAAAATTAGAAAGAATTAGTAGCCGAGTATTATAGTCCATTTACAAAAATGTGGTACGCAATACTAATATCACACTACAATGCATATCACGTGATATTAGAACCGTGTCATAAGAAAAAAGTCGAATTCCCTTGTCAATATCACGTGATATTTAAATTCAAATGATTACTCGCTTTCAAACTTCATGTCCAGGACCAACATAACACCTGTAGCCGTGAGCTGGAAGAAGTATCAACGCTGGTTGACGGTGAAGTGATGAAAACAGCGCGCGTGGTAGGTGTCACCACCACCACAGCAGCCAGACGTCATGAGCTCATGCAACGATTGCTTTCACCTATTGGTAAGGAATACAAACAAGAACTTTATTATAATTATTAATACAAAAATCGAACGCTAAGAAAAATTCCTTCGATCCGGCTGGATTCGAACCAGTGCCTTTAGCATACCGTGCCTGACGCTCCCCCCAACTGAGCTTGTTGCAGATTTTGTTTTTGGTTTTTAACGACTATTGCCGCAGCTCCGTCTGTGAGAAATCTATGAAAGTCTTTTTTCTCAGCCAGAGTCGCTGTAATAATTGTAATATTAAATTTATTGAATATTTCGATGTTTCACTATCATGATATTCAATTTTTTTTTGTGACATTACTCGATTAGCTTATGACTAGATTGTTATAATTAGTGTTCGATCTATTAGATAATAATTATAACAAACTAGTGGACAAATTTCTGCAAAAAATAATTTAGTATCATGGTAGTACATCGTGATATTCAATAAATTTAGTAAGAAATTTTTACTCATGAACTTGTTGTGATGTCATGATTACCCAATTTAATTTAATGACCACATAGATTAGATGGCGAAAAGAAAAAAGCCTATCAAATGAGCTCTTTATGGTCATCATCTTGCATACTAAAATTATATTTGTTGCCTAATGTTACCTTTTCAGTGATCGTTGAAGAAGCAGCAGAAGTGTTTGAAGCTCACATAGTAGCCTCTTTGACGAACCACTGCCAGCATCTCGTACTTATAGGTAAATAAGTGTATATGTTTCTTCAATCTTGTAAAACCCAAAGGGTTAACTAACGAGTTTCCCGTTCCTCCAATTAAACTTGTTTTATAAAAAGGTTATGTGCCAATAAACTAAACCAACTACCTGATCTCAAACTAAAAACAATCCCTGTACTATGAGCATCGAAATAACGGAATTCGTTCCAAGGCACTGCCTGGAACACCCAGACCGAACCAATTTAGAAAACTCATTTCCCAAATTGGTCTTACCGGGAATCGAACCCGGGACCGACTCATCCAGTGCCCAAAGTACAATCCCTTGGACCACTGAGGTCGTCAGTTATTTATGAAAATACGATAGATTGTAATCGCAGATTGTATATACAGTGTTTGGGAATGGGGTTCACTTATATTTGAGGCAATCAGCGCAAAAGAGGTGTAACTCACATGAATTATTTTTTTACAATATTAAGATAATTATTTAAAGTTGCTCGTCTATGTGCGCTTTATATTTATTTGTACTACTTACTTTCAGGTGACCATAAACAATTACGGCCTACAGCAGCTCACTACAAACTAGCCAAAGATTACAACTTTGAAATATCTCTGTTCGAACGAATGATACGTAACGGTATTCATGCTCGCACACTGTCCGTTCAAAGAAGAATGCGACCCAACTTCGTTGAGCTGTTAGTGCCTGCAATTTATGAGAGACTGGATAGTCATCCTTGGGTGGTCACTTATCCTGATGTTCGGGGAATGAAGGATAACTTGTATTTTTATTGTCATGATGTTTTCGAGGATTCTGAGGTATGTCACTATCTATTTCATTCTGAAATTTAATTACAATAGATGCCATAAAATGCCCAAAATATGTCCAAATTTGAATGACGACAAACTTAAAAAAAAATATTTTAATGGTAATTATTTTTTTTTTTTATAAACTGTAAGTGCGCACTCGACCTCCGTCTCTCTCACCTGATGGAAAGTGACAATTTTATATTTACTTATTATTTTTGTATTTTTTTATCAAACAAACCAACGTTACGGGCTCTTTATATAGCTGCCATGGTCACAACTGATTGATGTTGAAGTTATCGACCAGTTATGTGTAATATTAACACAAACATCCCTATTCTGTACCATATTGGTCTGCCACGCAGAGGTCCCGGGTTCGATTCCTGGGCCGGGAGAAATGTTTGTATGGCCTACATTTATTTCTCTCATGAGTTTGGGTATAATTTGCGGTTGTTTGTGTGTGTGTCCGTGGCACCCGCGATACAGGGTTCCCTAGTGCGGGGCAATGTGTGTATGCGTTATAAAAAAAATGTTAATTGAAGTTATTCTTACTTTTAATTGTAAATTTATAACACATATTTCCAGGGTATGGAGAACAGTTGGAGTCACAAGAACACGTTAGAGGCGCAGTGGTGTGTATCCCTTGCAAGCTATCTGAGACAGATGAAATATCAACCATCTGAGATCACCATTTTGTCCACTTATACGGGCCAGGCTTCGCTAATCAAGGAGGTAAGCTTTGAGATTGACTATATTCACCGACTTGGGGAGGCCTATGCCACAGAGGCATACATACTTAATTAATTAGATTAAGTTTTTTCTGTCTCTTTTCCTTTTAAAAATGCCTGTGATGTAATGTAGTAGAAATAAAGACTATTTTATAATAACTGCCTCCGTGGACGAACGGTTACCATGCCGGACTGCCACGCAGAGGTCCTAGGTTCGATTCCCAGGCCAGGAGAAATATTTGTATGGCCCACATTTATTTCTCTCGTGAGTTTGAGTGTAATTTGTGGTTGTTTATGTGTGTGTCCATGATACCCGCGACACAGGGTTTCCCGGTGTCCCGGTGTGCTTTATTATTATTTTTTTTATTTATTTTTATACTCACCGACTATTAGTTGACGTCACGAAGATTCGTTACCAGTCATTATCGTACAACAAATGAGTTTGGAGATTCCGCAAACGGAAATTTGTAGAAGATTCGTAGATTAGAAATGGCAGAGTTCCAAAATTGTGTGATTGACTTTTATGTTAAGGCTACGTATTTGAACGCGAGCCTAGATTTAGGTGAGGTGAGAGGGTGCCCGCGCGTCCCGCAATCCGTATGCAGAAAATTAATATGATTTAAAAAAAAAACAAGCACCCAATGGCGACTGACGAGACAGGAAGCGGCGCGGCGTGTCGTTAAACCGCTGGGAATTTTCAAATGTGTCATATAATGATGAAAATTATATAATGATAAAATTAAAGATGATAAGTAATTTACTATAAAATATGTATCAACTACTTATTAAGCTTATTCTTTTTATAACTGCCTCTGTGGCCGAACGGTTACCAATGCCATACTGCCACGCAGAGTTACCAGGTTCGATTCCCGTTCCGGGAGAAATATTTGTATGGCCTTCATATATTTCTTTCGTGAGTTAGGGTGTGATTTGTGATTGTATATGTGTGTGTCCATGGCACCCGCGATACAGGGTTTCTCTAGTGCGGGGCTATGTTGTGTGTGTGCGTTATTATTATTATTATATCTATTTCAGACTCTCGCCTCTCCCAAGGTCAATTTTTAAATGGGAGAGGCGGTATTCCCCGGCAAAGGCACGGCCGGAGTCAGGGATTCAGGTTCAAGAACCGGCGAACATTACGTGCCGTATCGAGCAGGACCGTCTTTCTCATTTGTGTTGTTATTGTTATTATTTATTTATTTATTATATTATTTGTTATTATTATTATATTGAAACGACCAACACTAGTCAATGCTGGCAACACTTTGCATGACAAACAGGACCACGGCCTCTCCCACTAGTTATTCTTAGGTTTCCGAAGTTTCAGCGCTAATACTGCATATATTTTAAATCCGTCTTGTTCTTTCAGCTCAGCAAAAAATACACGCTCCTTCGCGACGTAAAAATAACCGTAGTCGACAACTATCAAGGTGAAGAGAACAGGATCATCATATTGTCCATGGTGAGAAGTAACAGGGACGGCAAGATTGGCTTCTTGACGGCCGCTAACAGGATCTGCGTTGCGCTGTCTAGAGCTAAAGAAGGTGAGAATCTTCACTCTGTTTAGTTGACAACATTATTATTAGTACAACTATGTTTTAGCCCATTATTTATTAAAGCGAAAATGTCTAAATACTCGTTATTCTCACCAAACTGGCCTAAAAGCAATCATCGAGTATATAACCAGAAATAAAGACTACATCACTATTATATCACTTTTAAATATCAACTCTCGTTTGCACTGAAATCACAAATTAGAACGCTGAAATAGTACAGCGCCAACAACTTATCTGTGTGTACGTGTTCTATATTTATTGTAATAAAGATAATGGTTAATGTAATAAACCATGGAGGGCTGTTCCATTCGGTGGTGTGGGTAAAACAGCAAAACATCTAATTACAAAACAAACGGAATCACATTTCATCGGTAATTAAATATTAAATATGTAATTTTTTAATTTACGTCCATTATAGCAAAGCTCAAGTTAAACTGACCCATTTGAAGTGAAACAATTGTCACCGTAATGATTTGGCAGAATAGTTTTGAAATAAATTAAATGGCTTTTCGTCTCTATTTCTGGATATATACTCGATGAGATCAATTCAACAAAATCTTAATGTATGTTTAAACATTAATTCCCACTTGTCCGTTTTCGAATAAATTATGATAGTCAATAATTATTTTTGAAATTACTCCACTAGTTTGTTGTGATTATTAATACAAAGATCTAAAAGAACGTTCGATCCAGTTGGATTCGAACCAGCTTCGAATCAGTCTTCTAGCAAACCGTGCTAGACGCTATAAAATAAATAAATAACGCACACACTCAACATAGCCCCGCACTGGGGAAACTCTGTGTCGCGGGTGCCATGGACACACACATAACATAGACAACGACAAATTACACCCAAACTCACGAGAGAAATAATTGTAGGCCATACAACTATTTCTCCCGGCCCGGGAATCGAACCTGGGACTTCTGCGTGGCAGTCCGGCATGGTAACCGTTCGGCTACGGAGGCAGTAAATATGCTATGCCAACTAAGCCACGGAACGAATCTACCGACCTTACGAATTCTTCTATGTGCTTGTTGCAGATCTTTATTTATGGCTTTTAACGACATTTTTGCCGTAGCGCCATCTGTGCGAAATCTATTATCTGAGAAAAAGTATTCGATATCTCTCGGCCTCATAGTATACCAATTACCTAGCCTCAAACTAGAAATTTCCTGGTACTTTGGGTAACAAACTACTCGTAACAAATTTCGCTCCATAGGCATTATCCAGAACACCCGATACAGAACATAAAAAGATGATTCTATTCATAAATTGATTCTACCGAAAATCAAATTCGGAACCTCCTTAATTAGCGCCCAGATTCCTAACCACTGTGCCACCGAGATTGTTATATCGCTTTGGTTTGGCTGGTGGGGCTAATGGTACCTCGTGGTCAGAGATAGAAGCAATATCTCTGTTACTTGGGTTACATTGTTGTCATTCCTTTTTCCTACGCTCTTGTGATGACCAGTTAACAGCGGACGTTTAACTAACAAATCTTCCCAAGGTAAATTACAATTCTTAACAATACTTCTCACATCATTTCAGGATTCTATATATTCGGTAACATGAATGTCCTGAAGACAGCCAGCACAATATGGAGATTTATCTACGACAAATTAGTGTCACAGAATGCCATTGGAAAGAAATTGACTTTACGGTGCGATAAACATCAGGACAATCTCTTAGAGGTAACTAAACACACCACCCCTTTTCATTATGTATTTGGGACAGAAAAAATGTGGTGCACTCAGCCACATCTTTATACTGCATTAAGGAAAGCATTGTCTGAGCAACTTCCTTAATGGAGACACATAGTGGGACATATATTATACCGCACTTTTGATAATAAACTGACAGATTCGAAAAGTAACATTTTTAGGATAATGAAAAAGTAAATAAAAAAAATTCAGTAATTTTTTTTGCAAACGATAAATGGCATATCTATGGCACCAGACACATATATTATTATTTTAATCTATTCTGCCAGTTTTACCTACCCTACCGTTTTAACCACTACCATGAATTTAACGCTGAACAACGCCACTGGCGGTGATAACTGAAATTTTTTATACAAACATTTTACCGTGTAGCCAGCGACTATGAACAAGGTTAATATCATGATAGAGTCAATGCATAGAGAATTATTAAAGTGCTACGGTATTATACAGTAGTAATGTCTAGTCATCACATACCGAAATACGAGGGTAATTGCCGCAGCCAGGCGACACGACGCTGCGATGCAGTAAAACAATACAACATAAACTTATCTTCTACAAGATAAAACTACAGAAAATGAAAAAGAAGAAGTGCTACGCTGTGTCGGACGCACTTCACAAAATGCAAAATAATACGGGCAATAGAACATATTCTCTACTAAATAAAGTATACATTTCTTTGAATGCAAAATAACAAAAGAGTACATCCGCACGGATGTACTCTTTTGTTGGAGCGGCGTCGTCGGCACCTTGTGCTGTCACGGGTGTAACTTAGCTTTTCAACAATAAATTATATTTCTTTTAAAGGCAAGCAAATAAAACAACATAAACAAAACAAAAGCATCGCTCCGAAATAAACAAAACATAAAAAGTATACAATCATTAAAATAAGCTTCTTTTCAGGTGGATAACACAGAAGACCTGGACAACAGCCTAAAAGGTTCCTGCCTTAGGGTTTGCGAAAATAAATAATACAAATTAATTCATTAAATAATTTATTTTTTAACATTTTGTGCACTTTTAATTCGCTATTTATTATATTATATAACATTAAGTCAATTTAAGTAGATAATCCTTGCATCTATTCCTATAAAGTATTTTGGATGACATTACATCACGCTATTTTGTATTATCCTATCAAAATTAACACCCTTGCCTTCCAAGATATGAACCCAAGTTAATATAATATGCTTTTAGCATGTTAAACGTTAATAAATAAATATATTGCTATAACCTCTTAACTCCTTGCAGAGCAAGTATAGACGGAAAAAGATATTTACATAGTTAGATTCAGATTATAATTTTCCATTAGTGATATAAATAATTCATTAAGTAAAGTCCATTAATGTTGTAATATCACAAATACTTTTACTACAAAAACATAATAAAAGCGTTTTACATACTTGCGTATTCACAGAGATCGGTGTAGACAGAGTATACCTAAACTTCAAGGGACAAACATAAAGTGAATAAATAATACCGACTTCTGAAATACCGGAATCACTGCATTGTAATTTATTTATTAACGTAGGACTGTTCGTGTTATTGACGACCCAAAACGTAGGTATATGTAGAGTTTGCTCTGTGTAAGTGATACTACGACCCTTACAACGGCGAGTACGTTAGATAAATTATTCGAACCGGTACTACAGTCACGTTTCCACCATCGCACCTTCCGCCAAAGGAGTAGAGCCAATCCCACATCCTTGATGCCTGGCATAGTAATACCACGCGGGCATCATGTCCGTTCTTTCCTCGAACTTGTAAGATATGCAATTGCCTTCGTGCCTGAACCATTTTCTTTGCGCTATGACATGGGGTTCTTCAAAAGAGTCAACAGGGATCTCAAAGATTGTGAAAAGTTACAATGACTATCTCCCATCAAGCGGTTCGTTTGCTCGTTTGCCTCCTACTTTACATTAAAAAAAAACTACTGTAACTGTATTCTTTTTTAATTTTTTATGTTTAATAATTCCGGGATTTTAGGCAGTTATTATCAACCCTGTGTATATTGAAGTTTAGATAAATGTACACCGACTAGCTCTGCTTATTATGCAATAGAACTAAAGGTTCGTCCGTGATTTCTACGGACACACTATACAGCCCCGCGCGGGTATGCTCACTGTATTCTTAAAAGACAGGAAATGATAAGGGTTTCGAAAAACAAATTAAATATAATAAAGCTTTCGAAAAGCAAAATAAATTGCAAATTGTAATTGTTATACCAACCAAGCTGCATTAAAATGAGTTACTACTGAGAAATAAGCACAGAAAAAAAACTGTATTTCCGAATAATCTAATAAATTTCCGATATAAATTCCTACTTTACTAACTTATCGATGTATTTCCTACGTTGTCATTCATAATAATATTTCCGTGTGATAATTTAAGACGCAACAAAATTTATGAAACAAGGTCGGTTTTACATTTTGAAGTGATTTACGATAAAAATGGCAAGTTTTCGGTAGAATTTCCATTCGGTTATTTGCACAAAAATTTCCGGTAGCTTAGTAAATAAATTCATAATTTGAATAAGTTAATTTTTGGAGCTTTTAATACTACCCTTAAAAAACTATTTCAGGTATAATTGAATTCTGGTTAAACAAAATAAATTTTTAAAACCTACATTATTATATACATATAAGTTTTAGTTAATATATAACTTTGTTCGAAACATTTGTTTTATAACATACAGCTACTTACTTTCTATTTACCATTACTATTGAGGATATACACTATATACTATACAAGGAATGCACAGTAAATAAAATTAATTAACAAATACCGGAACGCAACAAGGAAATTAATTAAAAATAATTATTAGCTAATGTACAACTCAACTGAGGGTCTATTTCTTTGGAATTGGACCATTGCGTGGTTTTTTTGTAGGGTTTTTCAAAAGGTACATAATATTTTTGTTTTTCAATAAAACACAGAAAAATTGAGATCTCGAGCTGAAATTAATTCCAGGTGCAGTACAATGAGTAAGTACGTATCTTACATGTCAGAATGGAATTCGATCTCGTTCATATGACCACCTCGAGCGCGTCTGCAGCGTTGGAGCCAATTTTCCACCACCCTTCCTCACATATCATATCATATATAATCCCATAAATAGTAGTCCAACGACCAAAGTAGAGATCGCATGAGCGAGGTGGCCATTCAATCGGACCGTTTTGTAAGATTTTCGAAGACCCGATTATCGAACTTCGTCTTCAATAGATCATTTGTTTGACTAACTGCAAACGTGCTCGCGGTGGTAATATGAATGAGATCGATTCCATTCTTAAATGAAACATATGTACTGCACTTGGAATAAATTTCTGTTCGATATCTCAATTATTCTGTGTTTTATTGAAATATAAAACTTTTATGTCCGTATTGAAAAACCCGATATTATACACAAAGCCGGCGTTAGTCCATGTAGCGCCCGGATGCAATCAATACCCTGCCGCTTCCTAGTAGGCACGCGATCAAAATTGAATTCTTGTCCAGTTATTGGAAATTCGGGTGCAACATGTTGGGAAGCAACACAAAAAACCCGTTTAGTTTATATGCGCCGCGAGGGATAGAGGCTCCTTAGAGGCGTGCACCCGGTGCGGTGGTACGCCACACATCCGACACCATGGGTAAAGCCGGCACTGTATATGTAGATAATTTCCTCTAATGATAATAAAAACACTGATTTCTGAAATCAGTAGCGCGCCATTTTGATATACCAAGATACGAGTTTTACTCTAGTTCTTGCGCAAAAAATCTTCGTCTTCGACTAATTGACACTGACACAAAAGATTAAAAAGTATACCAAGAGCCTTTTATATTATAAATACACAGTATACATTTTAAACTCACTTCTTAAAAAAGATCAGTGTGTAACAGTACAGTGAAACAAAAAGTCGTAAGTCACATTTCTTCCTTTTAGCACGATATTCGTGCTTGGTTTATTACCTTACTTACAATTTTCATGGAAAAATGTTATTTATACATCATATGAAATTATATAGGTACCTAATCTACAAATTTAGTTTTTTGTTCATTGGTAACGTAAGTACATCAGTGTAGAGAACAAGATAAAATCATTTATTTTGTTGTAAAAAACTTAAACAGAGATGGGCACACTTTGTTAATGCCCAAAACCGAGGGCAAAAACTATTTAAACTAAATATTTGTTGTAAATCGAGTTTTGTTAAAAAAAATATTAATACAAAATGATTATTGCTTCCTGATCTAGAAGACCAACATTTGCCTTTCTATTGAATCGGTTCGCTTGAAAACTGCATTGAAATAATTCGATACAAAAATTGTTAGATCGTATGTACTTGAATCGATTTTCATAAAAATAGAATCGTAATGTGCATCCTTAATAGTGAGAATCCACAGGACTGCAGGTGACTATGTATGGAGTCGTCTCTTCTTAGTCTAAAAAGGATTTTTACATCGAAATTCGTAAAAATATGGAATTATTCCGTATTATGGGCAGAAGTGGATTAAAACCCGGTTAATACCCGGGCGGGTTGATTGAGTTTTAACCCACTACCCATCTCTGAACATAAATTATAATATATTTAACGTCTGGAAAAAGTTTGGTGAAATTCCACGCACATGGGACTTGTCAACTTATGTCTCAGGATGACGGGCGCAGTGGTAGTGCCCCTCAGATCTTTGCAATTTAAAGCTCTGAGTGACACTGTAACTGTTATGGGCAGGCGTGTATCAGGCGCACGATTCGTACGTCCCGTCACTTGATGTTACAAAAAAAAGTTCTAGGCAATTCTGAAATCCAAAGTCAGATAATTTCTTAAGTCAAAATATGGCGCGTATGACGGCACGCGCTGTGCAGCTCGAGTGCACCGCGAGATTATGCAAATGTGTGCGTCCGTACAAGTATGTATGTCTTGCGCATTCAAGTCGCGCTGTTACATTTGTGGAGTTACAATACTTGTCTTAAAATCGGCTCACACAGACGCGGTAGCGGGAAAGACGGTCAGGGACCTGACCTGCAGGAAGCGCCTGCGTACCAGGGCGTGCCACCGCGAAGCTCGCGGTGACGGTGGTGGCGCAGATCGACCGGTGTGACACCAAATGCAGCCACATTTCATTCTCTGGGTGCAAGATATCAATGCGAGAAGACCGAAGTCGAATTCATATTTAAATTTAATAAAAACAAACTCAAGAGTTGTAAAAAATACAATGTGCAATCCAGTCCCAGATCGCGACCCATCGCCGCTGCCGCTCTGTGTGAACGGTATAGAATTCAATGTAACACAACTTCCGCGCCCGAGTCGCCGTGGTCCCGGCCCGAGTCTTGTCCGCCTGAATGCCATAGCGTTCGGCCTCGGACCAGGCCACCCCGCCATCGCGCCACCCGGTTTAAATGTAGCATAAGGACATTACAAAAATTCCCGAGCCTGAAACGCTCCCACTACCGCCTCTGTGTGGCCATAGCATTATTATACTATGGATATTAGCGACAAAAAAGTATTTGCTTCCTTATACAAAATATATGCAGTAATGTTCACAAAAATGGTGTCGTTATAAGGAAGCACAATATATATTTTTTAACAAAATCAAAAACCAATTTTATGTTGAAAGCGTTTATCATTATGATTCAGCTGGTTCACCTGAACTGATAGGTAATATTATGTGCACAACGTATTAACTGTGCACTTAAAAGAAACAAAGTCCAAGGTTGATGTCATTTATGGCTGGATTTGCATTTCGGACTTTAACCTAGCAAAGTTACGATTGGCAACGTTATCTACGTAAGATAAACACATAAAAAAGTATGAAGTGAACGGCGATATCTTGACATTCTATGTTGCTTTATTACGTATGCTAGAGATATTTATCTCAAAACGATAAAGAATGATATTTAATATGCATAAGACATCATTATATCAAGTGTTATCAAGAGTTTGTTTTGTGTGAAGCCGCTTTACTAAACAGCTCGTAAGTGTCGATACTACCTTAGCTCCATTTCAAATTTCTCCCGTACTAACACGGTTCATTTAGCTTGGGTCAAGCGGCAGACACTGGCTTTATTTCTGAATTTATTTTTTTACAAACGTAATTAAGCCATTCGAGGTTGTATTGAGCCTTAAGTATTAAGTGCGCCTCGCTCATAGACTGTCTCCTGCAGACCATTGCAGAGGAATGAGTGCCCAACATTGCGGCAGACAGCACATATTACTAACTCCCTGGTTGAATACCTTATGTACTAAGATAGCTTTAAGGACACATTGAAATCAGACGCTTGTAGAAGCGCTACACTGAGGCTGCAGCTGGCCACTGCTAAACGTTTATACAATATTTAGTAGCGCCGTTGCAGCACTATTGTCGTAACACGCGAGCGCAACTTTTGCAGTCACAATTAGTGAACTAAAAATTACTAAGACGCTATTATATACAAGGGACTAATTAAAAGAAGAATATTATTACCTATTATAATCATCGGCATCTTGGATGACTTCATATCAAGTCATCGAGACTAGACAAGGAAGGCGCATCGCGCTGCAGTCAACGTGACCGGCGCGTGTATGGAAATGTTATTTTAATGATGTATAGCTTCTTTGTTAATTTTTTACTATATTTCAATACAATGTTTCTGTGCAATAGAAATTAATTACGTTCCTGTCTACAAACTTCCTCCTCCTATTCGGCCTAGATTTCAATAAAGAGCGTTTATTTTTATTATATTGTTTTTTGCAAACATTCTTTAACTCACTGATTTTTTTTCTTGAATTTCATGATATAACCACGAAATATTCATGTATATATTATGAAATGACGCCACAATTTTTTTATAATTATTAATACAAAGATCGAACACAAAGAAAAATTCCTTCGACCACGTTGAAACTCAAAACTCAGTACAAAAGTTCTATAACAGACAGAAAAAACTTTCGTGTACCTGCTAATCTGACCTGTAACTCAGTTGGCAGAGCGACGGTACGGCACACCGTGGTGACGGGTTGAAGCCCTGTCGGATCGACGGAATTTTACTTTGTATTCGATTTCTGTATTAATAATTATTCTTTAAATTGACTATATTTCTGAACAGTGCCTACATGCAAGTTAATGTGTAAAAAAACCTTGCAATCAGTACAAAGGTTGACTTAAACATTGTTTTAGTTTTTAAACACACATCTACTCGAGACTGATCAGGACCTAATAACTATCATGAACTGTATCGCTGTGACATTTTGTTAATAAGCGAAAATTTTGTCATCTAATCAGTAAAATGACATTTGAGTAAGATCTTAATATCAATCTTGAACTTGTGATGGATTTATATAAACACTGATTTTATTTATATCTTGTATCTACAATAAGATAATAACCTATTCTGAAGAACTACAAAACCATATTAACTAAACTAACGGATAATTCACGTCTTTAAGTCGAATTTTTGCGCGACTTGTATCGAACCAGCCCGTGGACTTTCATCATGACATTCCGCGGCGGTGACTCAACGGAATCCGCGCGCCAAAGCACTGATAGTCCGGTCACTCAATACGACTAGTCATACGCTGGATCGCACATACACTAACATCTCTTTTTTAAAGTCTTATCCACACTAACCACTAACGACACTTAACACAGGTTTCCAACCAGGGGCTACCGACCATCCACTATCACGACTGAAATTCAAATGACGATCAGTCTTGAAAGCTTCACGTACTTTCCGCGGAATTAAATGGTTTTCTCTCGCCAGTACGGACACTATCAAAACGAAATTTGGTACGTCGAATCTGAATCCAATGAGTGTTCAGGCACTACGAGCCCTGTCCCTGTCCCGGTTCTTTATACTACGTATGTGTTCCGTCAATCATGTAGTCTCTATGTGTAATTTTAGCCACAACAGGAGCACGGTGTCGCGGACTGGCTCGAAACACGTCGAGCAAAAATTCGACTTAAATACGTGAGTTTTCCGTTATTTTAGTTAATATGTCTGAGTTTAAATTAACTACGGACTTATACTATTTGAATAATTCTACACAAAAACTCTACAATGGCGTGAAGACATTACCAACCCAGTCGATATAACTCGTCATTTAAATAAAACCAGTACATTTCGTACTACAAATCACATCCTATATCACATTACTAAAAAGCCTCAGCTAATTGAATTTACTAATTTAATATTCTAGGAACTCTTCAATGTGTTCTACTATATTTAACGGCGTCTCCAAATGCACGTGATGCGTACCTATAACTTCAATGTAACTTACATCCGCTCTCTGTTTCAACATGTTAATTACATCCATGTAATAATCAAGCCTCTCCCATTTCATTCCAGGGACAGCTCTTAAGTTCAAAATTTTGCATTTCACGTTTTTAGCGTACTCCAGCGCAGTTTCTATCGACATCATAGCAAGGCCTGAAACTTTAAGCCTCGGATCCCGTTTAAAATGATATCCCATCTTGTTAATGTGCGCAGGAGCGGGCGACATGCCGCGCTTCATCAATATCTTGCAATTGTCTCTAGTAATCGATCCTTTATAAGCATCACATACAATATCAATCATTTCCTCATATTCGTAGCAAGGTATTTTATCATCGGTAAGATGCTCGTAATCCAAAAACTTGTCTATTAAGTTCCCTGTCTGTTTCACCATGTTCGATGGTTCTCTTACTGCTGGACTGGCTATATCGACACAAATGATTTTTTCTACGTCATCAGGATATGACGCTGCATACATGAAACTTACTGCTCCTCCAAGGGAGTGCCCCATGAGAGTCATGTTGCTCCATTTGAAGTATTTAACTATTCGTCGTACCAGAGTTATAGCGTCCCAGAAGATGTAGTACTGCATTCCAGCGGGATAGTGCGATGATAAGCCATGACCAGGTAGATCTATAGCGAGGACTGACGTTGTGACTGGCAACAATGGGATGAGGTTATCCCAAGTTCCAGCGTTATCCTGCCAGCCGTGGATGGCTATGATTGGCTGCTTGTCCCTTGGCCCCCACCACCGTCCGGCCACGTGACCCCATGGCACCGGTATCTCGATCTCTTCGACCGTAACTCCTGGTGGTAAAACTGAAAGTAATAAACACTTTTATTAGAACCTTATTATCAATAAATACACATTGCGCTTATTAGTTCCACTCATAAGAAACAATAGATACAACAACAATGGAAAACATTATGCACGTTTGATGTATGTAACACACTTCTTGGGTTTTTGGGCTATTATTATTATTATTATGGACCACTAAACATCACATAGTCTACAAGAATTCGACATCTCAAAATTTAACATGCAAATTAAGTAGACATTGCAGAGGAACTGCATTAACACGGGAATACTGTGGCTATTTAGTATCTAGAACACTAACGCTCGGGATACATCATATGTATACACATAAACGTACTACTATACAGTAGGAAAAGCTAAGTTTATAAAATAAATCTCCATTTATTCAATTAGCCCTTCAGCCGTTCAAGGTCAGAGTGAATAGGCATCTTAGACACCACCATCATCGCTCAACACTGGATGAAATTGTGGCCAAGCATATTATAAATAAAAAGATTACCGGACTTGTCTTTCATTGAGGTAAGCAGTCCGTGAATACCAACATACCTAACCGCACATACAATTTTATACATTAGTCATCTATTAAATACAATTATTCAACTTGAATTGCATGCTCCTCACTTATAACTTACACAACAAATAAAAGGTAACAAAGCATGTATCTACGGGTTTTTTCCACTACTTTGGATCCGACATCTAACTTTCCGATGCAGAAATCCCCAATTTCAATCAGCCTATAATATCCTACTTATATGAAATTCTATTCCGGAATTATATACAAATAATAATAATAATCGGAGCTTGAGTAATTAGTTGAACGTTATACACTCAAAGGTTATAAGTACACATCGTAATGAGATTGCAGAAAATTCTACGACCGAATCGTGATGAATGTTTGATAAAAGTCTAGACGTCATTTTCAAGATAGCAAATACAAAATCACGAACTTTCGTAGGGTTGGCAAACCAATTTGAAAGCAACACGACTTCAAGCATCAACATTGCGAGTGCAGCTGGACCATTGATCGATCGAAGGTGGAACAGTGAAGCTAGAGTTAAATTATAAGTGTTCTTTGGTTATCCAGTTACAATTGACGCTTTGCTAGTTTTTGTGGTTTAATCGGACTTGATTTGACAGTGTAGGCGTGAGGTATTTTTCTATATTTTATTTGTATCTTTTTAAAGCTTCGCAGTTTTGTTTGCCCTTTCTTATTAAAGATGCTCCGTGTTGGGTATTAATGTCATCGAATAATTGCTCCCACTACTGATGGAGCCATTTACGATCGTTTATATAAGGTTTCTAATGGTAAAAATAGCTAGAAAATATATAGAAACCACTGGATTATGGGTTATAAGGACAATAGATATAGAAACCACTGGGCGTTGGGACGCTTCACGTATGTGATTAATAATATATATAAGAAAAATCAATGGTCCCAAAATAATACCTTGTTGTGTGTCCCACCGTATAGTTTTTTAAATTTTAAATTAAATTTAAACATTTTAAATTAGTTTCGTTTTTGTTGTAATGCTGGTTTTAAGAATTTGATCAATGTTCTCCTGTCTTTAAAGTGTTTTCATAAATTTAATGATATGAAACTAATTAATATAAAATTTAACATAATAACATGGTCTGCAAAGTTAAAAGCATAACCACCCCCGTAGCATGTCTATGCATGATAGTCGCGACACGCGCGATAAAATTTAAATAAGCGCGCGTCGCTGCTATCATGCGTAGCCATGCTACGAGGGCAGAAATATAGAAGTCTTTGAATTGGAAGTAGGTACCTAAACTGTTGAAAAAGCTTTTGCATTCAATGTAGAGCTGTAACGTAAAAGTGGTACATCACAACTCTGTTTTTAACTGACTTCAAAAAATGGAGGAGGTTCTCAATTCGACTGTTCTTTTTTATGTATATAACGCAATAACTCGGCACGTGATAACGGCGTTTGTGAACCGATTTTAGTGATTCTTTTTTTGATGGAAAGACCTCTGAAGTGGTCCCACGTAAATTTGAAGAAAATATTCCACCTCTAAGGGTGGCAAACTAGGGGATGAATGCCTTTCGAGGTCGGCTTTTTAAATATTTTGTACAGAGATTATCACACAAAGGCTTTTGTGCATTGATAGACATAAACATAGACATTCATGTGCCAACGTGGCCAAACTCAAGAGTTTTTGTTAATATGGTGTAATATGTCATATGTTTGATATTATTATTGGTTTTTAAATTTAAAAAAACAAAACTTTTCTAATTACTTAATTTAATGGAAAATACCTGTTTTCCATTAAATTGATCACAAATATGCAATAACGGTTGATCATTTCATTACACACCAGTACCTGTACTGGCTTTTTAATGGATATTTACTGTTCCAGTTTAAATGAATCAGCATTTTGGATTAGCAAAATGACACTTATGAAAAAGCTGTGCTCGGAACTATTTAAAATTTTATAAAGACGATAACTGTAGGCAGTCCAAGATCATTGTAATATAAACGGCGGTAAAACTATGGCCGAGAGGAGACCCGTGCCTAACAGTGGGACGTAGAATTGTTTTGATGATGATGATTTTTATTAAAATGCTTAGTAAAATGGCGCCTGATAAAATACCCAAATTTTCTTTTGTGTAATGCAGACTTCAAGTACCGACATACATAGATATTGTTGATCTAATGTAAAAAAAAAGAATTATAAAAGAATATGAATGTGTTCTAGTACAGGTTAGTCACCAAAAGTCATCTAGTACCTATCTAAATTAATAACGCAGATTGCGATTCCGATAGAATGTAATATCATATGTAGAAATTATTAGCGACTATAAGTATTCCAGGTATCAAATATATGAAGAGTTTAGAGTGGATATATAGTAGGAATTGTTTGAAATGTCCGAATCCACTTGAACGCTTATCTTTTAAACAATGACATTGTATTCATTGTTAAGCCACAGGCAAACCGGCGTGCAAAGTCTTGGTACTTGGTGTTTTATTTGCTAAAACAATTTATTTAAAAAAAATTATTTTTTATGATACCAAATGCGCCCAGTAGTAAGCAACTAGCGACACGCCTATTATGACGGTTGCAGTGCCACTTAGAGCTTCAAATCACAAAGATCTAAGGGGCACTGCCACTGCGCCCCTCATCCATAGCACATTAGTATTGCAGTTGATGTCAAGCTATTGCATGCAATGTATTTATACTTGTTTAGAGCACCATTTGTAATTGTACGGTGCAATAGTGATGGGTTTGGTGGTTAGCAGTAGAGCTCCTCGCGACAGAGTTCGTCTAGAAAAGTACTGCCACCTTACATATTTCTGCCGCCAAGCAGTAGTGTGAGCATTACTGCGTTCCGATTTAGAAGGGTTAAGGAGCTGGTGTAATTACAGGCACATGGGACTTGTCTACTATGTCTCAGGGTGACGGGCGCAGTGGTGGTGCCCATAAGATCTTTGCGATTTAAAGCTTTGAATGGCACTGCAACTGTTATGGATAGGCGTATCGCTCACCACCAGGCGCACGACTTTTTCGTCCCGTGTCGCTAGGTATCATAAAAAAACCTGATGATAATAGACTTTTATTATTAACCTATTGTATCCCAGAAAAATTAACTGCCTCCGTGGCCGAACAGTTACCACGCAGAGGTCCCAGATTCGATTCCCGGGCCGGGAAAAATGTTTGTATGGCTTACATTTATTTCTCTCGTTAGTTTGGGTGTAATTTGTGGTTGTCTATGTGTGTGTCCATGGCACCCGCGACACTGGGTTTCCCTAGTGCGGGGCTATGTAGAGTGTGTGCGTTATTATTATTAAAAAAAAAATTACATCAATAAAAATATAATCTATAGGTACTTTCAACTACTTGGAAACATAGTATACACTGAAATACTATCAAGTAAACCTAATTATTCGACGCCCTCTGTGGTCGAGTGGCTTGCACACCGGTTTTCATGGTGTTGCCATCTCTCGAGGTCTCGGATTCGAATCCCAGCCGGGTTAACGGAGAAACTTTTCTATATGGTCTTTGGTCCACCTTCCATAACACAAGTGCTTTAGTTACTTTGGAATCAGAGTAACATTTATGCGATGTTGTCTAATATTTCTGTAGCTCTAGTGAAAAGGGGTACTAAGTCAAAAAACTTTACAAGGAGACTCGATAAACAGTTAAAGCATAATATATTATGTTATTAAGCGTTAAGTGTTTCTTTGTAAAGTTGGCTTTTTTACTTTGTATAAATTTGTGTTTACACAAATACACAAATTTAATCCCCAAAATAACGCAATCTTTTTTCAAAACTCTGGCCCGTTGTTTATTATTACGTTTTTAGATTCTTAGTATTTACTATTATAAATTAAATGAAAAATTTCTATCTTTACAAATGTATTTCAAAGACTTGCAGAAACAGCTTGCAAACGTTAAACGATAAATATTTATAAAATATTAATACGTATTATCGTGTCATTTGCAAATGTCATTTATCATAAATTCTTACCATGTTTTCCTTTACTGTAATTTGTTGTCTGAATAAAATAACTTTTATGTTTACGTTTATTCCATTTCTAAAAACGAAGTATAATTATGTAATAGGTACATATGCTAAGGTAAAAAGATGCTGCATCAATTTTCATTAACTTTGTTACATTACGTATAATTAATGACTACAATAATAGATTTGGATTATGATGACGTAAACAAGTACACAAGTAACAAGTTATAAAGGTGTTATTTGTTGGGTGCATATGGTCACAATGCTAAAAATCTCTGCAGTCAATTATAAAAATGCTTTTATGATAAATCTATCATAACCACTGGTCGCAAAAAGGTGTTCCAAGTCAGTAGATAAATGTTTATATATAGATACAAGGAGTGACATAGAGTGGTTAATACCAGCAAATATTATTAATTACTATTTCGTATTCCGGATTTCCGGAAATTTACTGCATAAAACTACTTACCTGGGAAGCTAAGTAGGTGTAACGTTTGTTACTTACTGCATTATATGGTACCACTAGAATGACTTTAATATCAAACTTCAGCAAAAATATGAATATTCATATCCTAGGATGCAGTAAAACTATTTCCGGAAACCGGAATTCGAAAAAAATAATTCATATTTGGTGATTTTAACCACTTTTGTCACTCCTTGTGCCTATAAGTAAACATTTGTCTCCTCATTTAGAACACACTATTCCGACAATTGTTTATAACGATGTCAATAACCTTAATTTTTGCCTTTAAATCTGTACAGACGTAATAAAATGACAACTATATTGTAGGTACGTTTAATTCAAACCTCAATTATACCCCAATGCATTGTTTTTCAAGGGTTGTTTTAACAAATAAAAATATATTATTTGCTATTTAAAAGTATTCGTACCATCAAAATTAATAGACCGAAGAAATACGATTTCTTAATTTAAATTCCTTTAATGCCCTTTTTTTACTTATTTAGGGGCAGTTTTGTGGCGAGCCAAAAAAACGTGTTTCATTTGCATTCAAAAGTGCTCAAACTAAGTATCACTACCATTTTAACGAATTCCGAATTTATATTCCATCGATTAAATGATTATGAGATATTCATACAGACAGGCATGCGGAGACCGATCCCCAATCCCGCGGTAATGCGACCTTTTTATGTCATAACTTATTTGTTGGAGGTTGTAGGTCGTGACGAAGCCCAAATTTTGAATTTCGATTTGTGATCTGAAATGACTGAGATCAAACATAGATTTAGTTACGTCCTATATGTGAGATCAAAGGTCATGGTCATGTACACTATGTTCATCCTTACTATACGAATTGATTTCCATAAAAGTAATCCAACTGTCACAATTATTAATCATAATAACGTCATTACAGACATTATCATACGTTTTCTGTCATATTTTATCTTCTTTCATAATATATTTTTATTGGGAGGTCAATGCAATTTATCGATAAAATTGTCCAAATCCTTATTACAAACTTTTAGGAAAAATGACAATCCTAGAGTACCTTTATTATATTGTAAAATAGAGTAGCCAAGTATTCTATTTATAAAAATCTAAAACAACCATTAACTTTTTTTAATGCAACGTTTTTTTTATTCTAAAATTACCACTTTGGCCACATACCAACTAACTAACCTCTTTTCATTGAACAATGCATAAGTTAAGTGTGTCTATTTCTAAATAATTTAAATTTTAAATTGAAACAAACTAGTAATATAGCCCGTGAAGTTTTGTTTTACTTTTAAATTGAAATGATTTTGTAAATTTTTCTTCGCATAAATAAACCGGTAACGAGATTCTCGGTGACTAGCGGGCGGTAAAATGAAGTAAAACTAGTAATGAAAGAGAGTCAATCTTTCAAAGTGTTTCATAAAAACTGGACTCCATTTTACTGGACTCGACTCTAAAATAAAGACTGAAGGTTCGAGTTTTTTTAATAAGACTCAGTCGTTATACTAAAACACTTAAGGTCGTATTCCAAAACTCTACTCAATGCTCAAGGTAGGATTTGAGCAGACTCAAGTCCAGTATGTAGTAAATAATCATGTTTATTTACTTATTAAAAAATTAGGATTCAGAGTAGTTTAAGCAATAGGTACGAGATTTTAAGACCTAATTATGTAATGATCATTGACCTAGGTCAATGACTGTATAATGACTGTATACAATACTTTTTATACGGTCGCGAGTTCCAATTAGGCTTGCACTTCTTGAATTTTTTGGAAAATTTCATTTGGAATTTTTCCATGAGCTTTTCTGTGAAGGAAAACATAGTGAGGAAACCACACATCTGCAAATCAATTTAATGATGTTTGTGAAGTTCTCACACCGCATTGGGCCCGAGTGGGGGTAACGTATCACAAACACGAATTTCTTCTTTCCGAATTTCATTATTCCGAGTTAAGGTATAAATTTGTAACACAGAAATTTCGTCCAGCAAAAGTATCGTTGGTCCGAAAAAGTATGATTTGAATAATTATTACATATACATAATTGTACTATTTTGGCAGAAATTTGTTTGGTCCCATCAAGTTAGTTATACTGTCTGTTTTCTATATAATTTAGATTGCTGACAATTCGTTTTAACAAAGTTATTATTCTTAGATAAAATTGTACCTACCTAAAGTAGACGTAAACAAGAAATTTAAGTACTTGAAGTACTTTTAGTAACCCAATTTAATACATTTTGAGTAAAATATTTCTTTATTTTTGCTACAATTTTAATTTTAGATTACATATAAAGTAACTTCATTACATTACTTGCATGAAAATTTAATTAATTATTAAAGATATTTATTTGTATATATAAATAAAGTATAACTTCGAATTTGTTTGTATTTCCTAGCTGATTCGACTTCTCCTGTGGGTTTAGGTTGGTATATGAAAAAACAGCACGAACGAAGTGAGCTAAACGAGCGTGTCGCGGCAGCGCCCGGCGAGTGCCAGAACCGAATTTGTTTGCATTTTCTAGCAGGTTCGATCCCCTCTTGTGGTAGGGGTTTGTTGTGCGACACGTTCTAATACATTTAATATCGGTAATAAACATTTAATATCTGTAATAAAACCTAATATAAAAAATGTGTTATGAATTATTTTTTTGGGGAAATGAAAATCGGGAACTGGATAACTGTCAATGGATTACCTATCAGTAGTCCGAAATGACATTTTCCAGAAATAACGTTTGGTCGAAACTTTATAACCTCGAAAGTAATTTTGAGAGGAAAATGTTTTTTTTAAACCTAACCTAACAGAACGTGATCGTGTCTTTGCGATAAACATTCAACATATCCTGAAAGAACAACTGTTTCTTTATAATTCGGGTTTCGGTGTAATGAAAATTCGAACAAACGTTATAACGAACAAAAAAATTTTCGACTTTGTGATTTCGAATGTGTCAAAATAGTGAAACATTAAATGGTGTAATGAAAACAATTGTAACATATTTTATAAATCCTTTCAATAAAAACTGAATCGTTTTCGGAGAAATAAAATTCTGGATATCATGTTTCGAGCTTGTGATAGGTACTACAGGCCAAACCCTCTCATTGTGGGAGGAGACTGTGCCCAACAGTGGGACTATATATATATATATAGGTAACTTTTATTATTATTTATATTTAATACCAGTAATATCAGACTTTTCATAGCACAATGTAATAAATGCAATATGAACAACAAACTTTGCCTGAAAAAGCAGGAACATCCTACCGTTTCAGGCAAAACCCAAAACCAATAAAAAATTGAAATGTCTGATAAAGTTTTAAAATGATTTATTAATCTCTACAAAAGACTATTTTTGCAGAGAAGTATATGTGTGTGTTTTTGCTATACAGTGCCAATGAGAGATTGTATTACACCTCATCTCTTTAAGCATCACATTCCGAGTTATGCATTTTTTTAAATTCTTTATTTAATAAATGTGTACCTATTTACCTATACAATTTGCTTGTCATGCAAACGCATATGAAAAACTGCGTGATATGGGTCTTTTGGTTACGGAGTCAATCATGTTTGTTGTCTGAGGTTGCTTTAAATATGTCTTATCCATAACATGAAATCGACTTTCAGACGAAATTGCCATTTGGCATGCAATCCTAGAACAAAGGTTTCTTATAATTTCAGTCTTATGTATTGTATTATTTGTGATTAGTTGTTTGGTTTTCAACATTGCTACTCATTGAAAGCGAATCAATTTTTTTGGGTGTAAGTCTCATACGTTTATTTATTTTTTCAAGATGGGTGTAAATCGCATACGTTTATTTATTTTTTCAAGATGGGTGTAAGTCTCATAAGTTTATTTATTTTTTCAAAGAAAACAACAAACAGGCTTTTCAAAGATTGATACAACTCTCAGTCAGCTATGATACAAAATGCAGCAAAAATTTTCATTTCCAGTACTTGTGAATTGTCTGCAATTTTAACGGTATAACTTCGGTCTGTGTTGTTTGTCAATGTTTAGTACATTCGTAACCATTATAGGCTATAATAAAACAAACGACTTTTGGAGCTGAGTCATAGACCTATTTGAATTTTTTTTAATATATTAAAAAAAAACAATTAAAATTCCATTTATTTTTGTCTAAGCATCATCATAAAATTCATAGCACAAAAATTACTAAACAGTTACCTGTAACTTCTAATAGAATATACACAATATTTAGTAAGTTTTTAAAAAAGACAATAGGTATTTTGTTGAATTTTTACATTAGAGTAGTCAATGTATAATTAAAGATTGCAGCACCCTAACAGGGTCCATGTTTGTATGAGATACATTTGTTTATGCCCAAAATGCAATTACGTAAAAATAATATAACTTATTGTTTGTAACTACCCTATAGTTACATAGATTTTATTAGATTATGATGTAATTAAAAATCGACCGATTCTAGAAAAGTGGAACATAATACTGCATTATATATTTCAATTGTTTTACACATGTTTTACTCATCAAAATACATGATGAAGCATCGTTTAACTTTCTAGAGAAAACGGGAGAAATAGCAGTTCGTTACGATACAAATCCCTACGTTCCATATAGAAAAATCTAACGGGATTCACCTAGTGGGACTCATCATAATAAATGGAAAAGAAAAAATTACACAATATAACAAACCTGTTTCTATTTGATGACCATTGATTTTTTCAGCCATTCTGACGTTTATAACACTGCAGTAGGGTCACAAGAAGATGATAAAATACAGCAATAGGCAAGTATACGCAGATATGATTAATTTATAATAAAATTAAAGAAACAATCGTGTTAGCAAAGGTGACCGCACGCCTAAGTTCACGGGTTATTACGAATGGACACCGCGTGAGGGATCACTGATCGACTGATACAACGTACCATGAGTCGTAAGTCAGATGGGTACTGACTGACTGACGTTTACTTATCTAGTAAAGTATCGATTGAAACATCGCCTTGACCGCGGTAAGTTTGTCATGACCGGTTGCGATTGATCGAGGCTTGCACGTCTTTAATTTGACGTCAGTACCAACCACAAACCCACAGATAACTGTAGACAAGTAGAACACAAACCACGTATCAGCTGTCAACGCTGTCAATTGGAAGTGTTTTTGTTAATGTTGCTATTCTAGAAAAAATATTTACGCTCGGATACACTACACCTCAAAATAGTTTATATGTACATGAATGATCAGCCTGAGGAGTCTTTAAATGTATGTATCTTTGTACGTATGTAGCTGTACTAGTATATGATTTTTTATTTTTCTTTATACATGACAGGCAAATGACTCCACTCCACCTGATGTTAAGTGGAAAGTGGTATCCAAACGCGAAGGAACCTAGTGCAGCGATGAAACCCTCACTGCACTAGCCACCTCTACTCTGCCTACATATTTACAATACATTAATGTTCATAGAAAACAACGTTTGAAATCTATTCCAGAACATATAGAAACTTTTTTTAATCGTGCGTCATTTGAAATTGAATTGACAAGTTACTAAGCAGGATAAAGATGATTATGATTACGATTTTGTTGAACAGAGTGAACATTCTAGAAGTAAAAAAAATACAATTGAAAAGGAAAACTTTATTTTGTTATCAAACAAACGTGAAAAATATTTTTAAGTCAATTATAATACTCTACTTCGGAATAAAATTATTTCTAAGATTTTAAGCTTAGAATAATAACGCATAGAAACCTAGCTCGCACACGCTAAGTGAGGCATATTGAAGCGCTCCCAAAAGGCCTACACGAACGGGCGGGCCTTTAGTGATCAAGGTCAACTTGCACCGCGAACAGCTCCAGAATTTTAGCAAAAAATGACGAATTGTGCGGTAAATGAGTGTAAACATACGTCAGACATACATAAAATAGATACTAACATCACATTCCACAGGGAAGTAACGCGTTTCAACTTGTATTTTTATATAAATATTCACTAAAACCGAAAATTAACCAACTACTAAAACTAGCCTACATGAATTTGATCTTTGCCTCACTTGTGACAGTTCGTTTGATATGAAACTATCATTCTATACGTTATTATTCTAAGGTCTTAAGTAGATTTATTTGTCGTCCTTTCAACATTATTATAATTTCAAAGACGAAAGACGTCTGCTGCTACGCATATACCTACCCCAAGAGTCGCCACAGCAACCTTATCATTTAAATTAAATTTAATAAATTGCTCTTTCGCCATTAAACATTAACATTTATAATATTAGTCTTCTAATAAACGAGTACCAATTGACGACGATGAATTCGATGCTAAAGCATCTGAAGATCGATCTGAAAATGATCTCTAAACGATTCTGACAAGATATCAGAAAATAATGTTGATATGCTTGCTGAAGTGCTTGACACTGAAACTGTAGGCTCAACTCACACTGGCGCAGAATCGAAGCGTCGCGACGCGTCATGTTTTTCGCCTATAGCATATTCATCTATATTTTCCTATTATTAAGGTACAAATTTGTGTTTTGCAAATATGGAATCGAGCGGCTTCGCGCGTCGATGCGCGTCACTTAGACGCCGACCTAACTGTGATCCCGGCGAACTAATGCGAGTGTCGTCGCGCGTCAACGCCCGTCGCCAGGTAGTGTAGTTGAAAAACAGGACGCGACGCAACGCTTCGACTCTGCGCCAGTGTGAGTTGAGCCTTATTAGCGAGTGATGTCAAACATATTTCAGGTTAGATTGCAAGAAAATTGGAAAACATTTCACAAACTCTATAATAACTTCCCAGAAAATGAGATTTCACAAATTAATTTCAATCAAAGACATGTGTGTCTCGCCTCACACAAATTATGTTCATCTCCAATCTGAACACAAAAATATTTCTGAGTTTAAAAAAATGTAAGAGTCTAGTTAATGTTTTTGGCATGTTTTGCAAATATGTTTCAAAAAAACATGATTTTTTTTAAATCCTATGTTTTTTTCATATTACAGGCAAGAAATTATTGTTTAGTGTAATATAGCCTGAACACTTACATAACAAATCTGAATAAATAAGTTTTCCAACTACAATATGATCAGTCATGTACCAAATCGTTGACTTTACTTACTGCCTACAACGTTCGTACCTGCTCTATAATCTATGGCCGAAATTCATACGTATTTATAGAACTCGCTACAGAAAAAAATTACTATCTCTAGAAGATAGACAGTTGCCAATTGAAGAATTGGCAACTGTTTAAAATAGTAAATAGAAATATAAATAAAATATAGAAGAAATAAATTGGAGATTTTTTTTTAATGCGTATAAAAATAAAAAGGCATAGTGAATAGGTACAGAGTCAAGAGCACGTCAAGCTTGACATTTAAGACTTAAATCCAACTCTATGCCGCTTACTATAAGAACGATCCAAAGTACAAAGTGTCAAGCTTGATGTGCTCTTGACTGCTCTTGTTTTTAAACGTAACACGACTTACATGTTGACATTTTATTTTAAGGATCGCATTCCAGAACTCTACTCAATGCTCAAGTCAGGTCTTGAGTATGATTTCAAGCACTAGATACTTCGAGTATTACAAAAGTTCTGTCTCATAAGTTTTTTGTTATGTATTTTTGTTTTGTTACATAGTTACTTTTCCTCGAAAGAAATTTTAGTGTCCTAAGTGTTGGTTATCAATGATACATTTAACTATAGACACATTATACATCAGCGGGAAAGAATAAAAGCTAGCACTTTTAAACGCCATATGGAAGTATTATGTGAGACGGGTGACCCGCTAAAATATCGAACATAAATCATTTGACCCAATCATACTACGCATGGGTCATGATCAAGCCCGGGTTATCAAAAATGATCGACCGACACAGGTCTAGTTGTTGGCTCCATCGTTTTCGTTAAGCAACTTCAACTTTTAACAGGTTGGAAGAATTATCAAAAATTTGCAACTCAGTGGAAATTGCATATGGCCAAAGCCTGGACGCCATAGTGTCAAAATATAAGAAAAAAAAACAGGTGTCAACGTCAAATGTGGAAAAATAGATGAAATATATTGGAGCAATATCCAGAAAAATATTTATTTTTCGGAAAAATATGATTTTTTCAAAATGGAAATGAACCCAACACTACTTTTAGGTAATACCATGGACGTATTATACAATCATACGTCCATGGGTAATACTTGGACATTCACCGTTGTTAAGTAATCATAAAACCACAGATGAGAGGAGGTGCTGAGCGTATCCGAACGTTGCGTAATCAAATCAATTTTTTTTTATTAAGACTTTGGCAAAGCCATCAGCCTAAACATGAAGTTTAATTATGTTTCTGTACATATGGCCGCGACAAAGAGGATAGGCAATTTGAGGCGGCGCGCTTGGATTGACTCGGGATTCCTTAAATCGGGCCGATACGGGTATTTTAGTTCGAGATTCGTATAATTTTGCGTTTTAATCTTCGTTTAAGGCACAATAGCACTATCCTATTCCACTTTAAACTAGATTTCACAAAATAATTTGAAAGTCAAAATAAAAACGACACTTTTTCCTCCAAAAGGTCCAGAGCGAATGTAATCAAATCAATGCTGTGTTCAGTGGTGCCAGATCAGATTAGATGATTTTTCTCCATATAAGCTACTTTGAGCTACGTGCGGCGACAAAAAAAAATCCTCAGCGACTTTTTTATGAACTCTAGATAGTTCGGCTAGTCGGTTCGGCGACCTTTGGAGCACGCTCGAGTCGCGGTCGGTCGGTCGACCGAGTGCGTCCAACTCAATGAATCGTCGGTTCGAGTTCATATAAATAAACGCCGCGCCGCATCGCTCTCGCTACTCGCAACTTGCGATTATTCTGTCAGACACCACCGAGTCGAGTCAACTCGAGTTGAAAAAATACAACTGTTCCCATCGCTAGGCCGTTCACTTGAAATAATGAAATATGAAAGATGATTTAGATTTAACATCCGGCTTTGGTTATAAATATGAAAATATTTATTAGTAGATCTAATCGTATTGTAATCTTTGATCTGTGATTTTTAGTTCTTAGTGAGATAGAGTTAATATATTAATATTAATTACTAGTGGAAATGGTATGCAATTATAATATAAAATATTATGTGTACGTTTTGTTTATTGGTTTCATGAAACTATATGTTTAATAAACAACAGTCTGTTCATTAAATGTTGTAATGCGTTTGAATTCTTGGCCTGTTTATAATCATTAAAATACGTATTGAAAAAAAAATTGGGCGAAGTTAGACTACCTAGTTGGCGCACAATAACTGGCGAATTGACTTCGCAAAATTCTGGCAACACTGGTTGTGTCAAATTGTCAGTTTTCTGCTGTGCTGTCAAGAGGCACAAATTAACATTGAATTTTTAGAGGAGTAAAGATTTTCGTGTGATCGGCATATCGGCAAAATTTGATTATAATGGCAGATAAGAGGAAAACTAAAAAGCGCAAAGAGGTGAGTACTCATTAATTTATTAGTCGTAGTGGTTGGGTGTGTACGTGTAAACTTCGATTGTTTTTGTCTACGTTACCATGTTGAGAATTTTCCTGTGCCAAGATGTTCCTTGTTTTTCCGAACTCGCGTGGGGTGTATGTCCCTAATTGTTATTTGCGTCTCATATTTGCCATGTGCGTTTTATTTTGTTGTGACGCACCTGCCTATGTTGGGAACACAACATCGCAAATTGTTACATACATATTGCGTAGGAGATTTCGTTCATATGTATCGCAAAATGCACATTATAACGTTGTTGAACTATTGCAAATTAAGTATTTGTGACACCAAGGAATTGTGCATAGAAAGAAGTGCCTTGTCCAAATAGTTTTTTATAACTGGTTTTGAAATGAATAAGGTGGGTTTCCAGATAGTTTTGAAAACAACTTTAATTAAAAAACTCATTTGTGTAAAATATTCGCATTATTTCATCTAATGCAATTCATTATTGCAAGCCTCTCAAACAGTTACTAATTTCTAATGAAATTTGATTGTCATTAATAAATTGCATATTAAACCAAAACTGCTGTGACTAAAAAATAATGAAATTCAGAAAATACAATTTAAAATATAAAAAAGAATACTGAATGAATTTTACTGCAAATAAAGGGCTTATATTTATTTATACATAACAATTAGTTATCTAGAAAGAACATAAAGAGAACATAAATGTATTGTGTTAAATGTTGGTTTGTTTGAAAAAAGCAAATATATGCGATTTAAGTCCAGAAAAATAGTTTCATTCCCTCTGTGTAACAATTGCGAAAACATAAGAACTCAATATAAATTTATTGGTTCCATTTAGTAATTTTTCTTAACTTTCAAACCATATTTTCTCAATTTCACAATTTTTGATTTATTACCATATTTGGTTTCATGTGTGAAATGTCTTGTTATCAGAAAACTACTGCCTTTATCATTAAAAATATATAAGACTAAAAATATGCATGAATTTTTTCATTAAGTTAAATTTTTTTGTTTACAGCGCCAAAAGGTTTGCATTCAAACATTCTATAAGTTCCCTCACCATTCACTTATTAAGTTCACTGGTTTTAGTGTTTTTCTTTCACTATGCATGTTGTCACTTTTAGGGTTAAACCATACTTATCAGCAACAGTTTTGTTGTCTCCTATTACAGCTCTCTTTAGGACCATATCTATACTAAAGGACAAGACCTAATTTAACATACAGGCTAAATAAGATGGAGCCTGGGAACAGGATGAAAATGGTTGGATTGTTAGTCTTTGCCCCTTTAACATTTTGGCATACTAAAAGTTTATGTAGATCCTTATCTATTTATTAAAAAAATATATTGTTCCCTTGGAAAGGAGTACATTTACCCTGAGAGTGAATTATATGCAAAAATAAGGCTCTGTTAAAAATCGGCTTTAATGGGAAGTTGTTCACAAAAGTCCAAGTCATTTAAACTGACTTTTGATATCACTGTGCTGTGTATTGTTTAACCCTTAATAGCAAATATTAGTGTATGATTGTTGTTTCTTTTAGCTATTCCGTCATCTAAAACGCAGCTATGTGCACTGTTAGGGTAAGTTCCGATAAATCGAACATGGTAACTAATTTTAACTGTTTTTAAAATAGAATTTTGTCCTCTATTTTTTGCTATTTAAAACGGTTATTTGACCATTTTTCACTTAGCCGCGTTTTAGTTAATGGACGGCAGTATTATAGTTACTGTCAGAGTATTAACAGAAATTTATCTTTAATTGTGTAGTAAATTTTTTGAAAAAATTGGCGTGCCAATCTAGTTAAAATAGTTGTGTGCGGTGTTGTTTTTTATCTTTATCGTTGTTAACTTTTTACCTACAAAATTTCACTCTTATAATAAAGGTTTATAATAGTATAAGACATTGTAACAAATTAAATATGAAGTATGAACGAAGTTCAATACTGGGGAGGTACAGGCTACAACCAAAGGACTTAAAAACTGTCAGAGCCAGGAAAGTCCTTCAGATCTTTAATGGCCGCTCGGTTCAGTTCTGTAATTATCATAATAGGTTAGATAATGGTCCCAGTGGTGATGGGGCCTCATAGGCGCTGGTTGAAGCCACCCTAATAATATTAAAAATAATAACATATTAAATTGTAAGCTGAAAACATTTTTGAGGAACTGAAATTTGTATTCAGATGTGTAGTGCAAAGACCAGGGACCAATCTATAACTCGAAATAGAATAAGTTTTTTGATCACAAAAACGAACCTTGTTGCCTATTAAAATTGGCCCAAATATAGTCTGAAGAAAGGGTACACAAAATTGGAGTGCTTTTCTTGGCAAGCTTCCCATTGTTGTAGTTTTTTTTTGAAGCTTCACGATATTTCTGTTGCAAGCCAAACATATTGCATTTATAGTGTTACATAGTTCGCACAAACAACAATTGTTAACAAATTAGATAGCTGTGGCTTACCCAATTGTGCTTCGGTTTTGGTACATATCATGTAAATATGTTGCATGATATATCAACATTTTGTAAAGACAGCACAATCAAAAGCAAAGATTTCAGAATATAGATCCGACGACCGACAAATGTCTATATAGACGTCGTTTCAGCGGCCAAAGTTTTATGTGTGTTCGACAGTCACTGTGTTTACCGATTATATACCACAATGAAAAATTTTAAGGATTTGTTTCGATTGGTGTTCCTGTGTTAATTTTGCACTTCCACTTCATCTTTTTGCTAGATTTGTCTAATAGGTAATCGCCCCGCCCTCGAGTTTTTTCTACAATGTAAATGTCTTTTAAATTTCTAATAATCGAGTTCTTAGGTTTTCGCGTTTGTTAGACATTGAAAATGAAACTATTTTCGGATCTAAATTGCGTGTATTTGTTTTTCAAATAAAGCAACGCACTTTACAGGTCCCATGATCACGGGTGATTGAGTGCTAGAGTAGAAAACAAATATACACAACTACGATTCGATAAAATAGTTACATTTCCAATTATTAACAATATCAATAAAATAAAACAGTAAATAGTATTGTCGATTTTTTTCAAGACGTACAAACAGATGTCGAATTAGGTTGCTGGCAGTATCTAACAAGTTTGTTGGTTCAAATGTTACCAAAACAATGTTCTTTTTAACATTCCTTTTTCAGTATATGTTCCTAATTAGCGTCGGCGACAATGCCACCTCCCTGCATATTCACGTGGTCGCGATGCAAAGATTGTAGCCTCCAAGCTATCCCTTTCTAATCTCTTATGTCTTATCTTATTACCTGCATGTAAATTCTATTAAAAGTATACTTAAGTTTGGAACATCCCAAGCGTACATATAAAATTTAAAATCGATTATCTTTAGATGTAATTTTAAGAGCGCGCGTTTAGAAACCTTCCTTTTAGACGAAATGGTCTGTATTATAAATCTCAGAAACGAACTACAGTTGTGAAAGACTTCTAATTTCTAATTATAGCAAACGTAGCGATCCCATATTTATTCCCAAACACCCACACACCGGCAACATGTTTACTGAACTACAGACTGTTGTTATTATCATTCAGTTGCAAAAACGATGATATTTTCATTAAGGTTTTTTTTATTTTCAGCGCCAAAAGGTTTGCATTCACATTCTATTAAGTACGCTCACTGTTCACGTAGTAAATTCACTGGGTTTAGTGTTTTTCTGTTCACTCTGCTTGTCGTCACTGTTGGGGTTGAACCATATTTATCAGCTACAGCCCTTTTGTTTGTCATTGACAGCACACTACAAACGTACCTAGCATGAAGATCCGAACGAAACATAAATTCTCACACATTATCCTGAACAATTTCAAAGCTTAGTATCACTAAAAATAATTTAATATTGATAGTAATGAATGAGATTAATTTGTTTTTTTTTTTCACCAACAGACAGGGCTCGAGGCCTGTCTAATCGAAGGAATTTTTTTTCTGTTCGATCTTTGTATTAATAATTATAAAAATAATTTAATTATCTAATCTGTAATCTATATTATGAGTTCTTACATCATCTTGGCTTTAAACACAACAAGATATGTCAAGTCCAAGTTTATTTACCTGATCATATACACGCATGTCTTTAAACTTCATACATATCCAACTATTAACGTAAAACACCAAAAAAATAATTAAAAGAATTACACAAACATCACAAAGACAACCGATTGGCATACCAATAACAAAAGAACTGTAAATCGAGTTACCTGACTAAAGACGTCTCTAGAATAAAAAGTACCGCTACATTATAAAAAAAGTTCATGTGCCGTTACTTCTTATCACTGATTGCTTTGAAGACGAGGGGAAGGGTTTCGGGGTGTGGAGACTCGAGAAATTGTGCTACAAAAGCTTTAGAAGCGTTTAGTTCCGTCTTATTCCAAACTGAACCTTGCAATGTGCTGCACAAGATGACGTTTTCCATCCATTTTGAACCGTAGAAATGCCCTACTTTCACCTAGTCGGAGTCAGTGGTGAATGAAAAGTGAAATGGTACACCTGTGTATTTTGTGTTTTAGAAAAAATGCCAAAGGAAAAGTATTTTGTGAGTTTACTTTCATTATAATGTTTTTTTTCCGAGGAGATTCGTGAATTACATAGTGAGTTTCGTCGTTATATTTGACTTAACCGATGTGTACGAGTTTCACATAATTTGTTAACTTTGTTTTTGTAGGAAGTATGACAATTTTTGTAATTGTCGCATCATTTTTTTCTTCTGAATGTAGCGTTGTTTGAATTGAAAATGATAAATACCGTAATGCTATGACAATACAAGATTTGTCAGCGATTCATTATGTTATTTTATTTTAGTTAAGGGTACAATAGATATTTACGTAAATACCTATGATAATGGCGCTTTATTATGAATTATATTTGCCGTCACAAGTGACTCCGTGGATGTAGAGATAAAAAAGAGTAGAGGTAAACATTTTTATTTTTTATTTATGCTAGCACGTCCAGCAACATATCTCTAGAAGAGAACCGTGTACAGGCATAATTTGATTTTTGTTTTCTTCCTCTTTTTAGTTTTTTTCACACTCAAACCCTATACAGATTGCTACTTAGCTTTTTTCTTCAAAAATAGGACGTGGCACCACAGAGTCGAGAGCAGACCGGTTGAATGCCTATTGTTCCTTGCAAAGATATACGACGATAGGTTATAAAATAACTGACAATCTAAACGTCAAGACAGATTACCACTTTGTAAGGCATGTATTTAAATGATCCTTTTAAATTTGCAAAAGCAACTTTTCAAGAAATTACACAAGAATGAAAAGTCGTCATAATTGCCGTTCTATTAAGAATAAATTATTAAATATTAAAAACCACGCGGTGATCTATAATTTATTATTCTTTTATTCATGAATTATTACCCACTATGCGGCGGATTTTAAGCGGAAGAGCCGGACATTTATAAAATTCGTTATCTGTCAGGAACCGTGTTAACCGTGATCTTATCACTCATTTCCGACCTTGATCTTGGCCAACTAACCTTTATCTTCCTCACCGCCATTATTATTTTTCTTATTCAAGAGTATTATGCCTGCTAGTATGACGTAGAGACTATTTTCTTGTATAATAAAATTTATATGGAAATATTTTACCTGTTATATGTTAATGTTTTAAGTAAAATTTCAGGATTGGTTACCCTGAAATGGTTGTATGATTTTAACTGTTAAAGGTAGAGGTGGTACTTGTGGTCCATGAAATGGTGGTGGTGGTTATTACTTACTTTTAATATAAAAAATAATAAATAAAATAGGCTTTATTTAACATGAATAATTTTCAAACAAAACAACAAAAATAAATAATAAAAATAAATTCAATTAGAATAAAAAATAAAATAAATAAAAAAGAAGCATGAAAAATTCGCTGTTATTCTGTCATGGCCCGTCATAATATGCAACACCACAATTCAAGTAATGTTTGTTAAAACAAAAATCAAAATTAAAATAACTGTAGACATTTAGGCACTATATTAATATCACGCGCCTCTTTGAGCGAAAATGAGTCATATATGTCATTGGTTTGGGTTTTATCTACCTTATTCTTGGTCAGTTTTTTTGGAGCTTTAGTTATTGAAATTCGTTACTTTCTCGTGGTGTTATTTGCTTTATTGTGTTATTGTAATTGGTTACTCCTACGTCCCTATGTGGCGGTGTAGACTAAATGTTGCTTTCAATTAGAATATACCTATATCAAATACAAAACGCTTCTATACGCAAACACCGGTGGGGAAAGGTCTATCCACCTTTCTCCACCGGTGGCAGGAGCGGGAGCGGACAGGCAGCAAATGCTGTAATGGAAGATATTTTTCATACAGCACCTATTACAATTATTTTTTAATAATATAAAAAAATAAAGCCGGAAATTAAATTTCTTGGGCATATCGATGGAACCCGGATTTTTCGGGCCCTCTGTCACTCGCAAATATAACTACTTAGGTAAGAAAAAAGAAATATAGAGTGCTATAGAAATTAAAAAATCTATTACGAAAGTAACAAAAGCAAATGCATAAAAAAAATTAACTAATTAATTGCAAAATTTTGCAGCAGTAGACCTTTCACAAGGGTGAAAGCCTTTGTCCAGGGAAGTACTGCCACCTTACCTGTGTCTGCCGCCAAGCAAGTAACGTTAGCATTACTGGGTTCCTGTTTTGAAGGGTAATGGTGCTAGTGAAATTACAGGCACATGGGACTTATCAACTCATGTCTCAGAGTGATGGGCGTAGTGGTAGTGCCCCTCATATCTTTGCGATTTAAAGCCCTGCAACTGTTATGGACAGGCGTGTGGCTTACCATCATGCGTATGTCTTGGTCGTCCCGTCACTTCGTATTATAAACAGAAATGAGATCAAAGAAGAATTTATAACTTAGATATTTTCTGTTTCCAAGTTTAAACTTCTTACTAACGACTGTGATTTTTAGTAAGACTTAGGGTCGTATTCTAGAACTCTACTCAATGCCCAAGTCAGGATTGCACTGGAAATACGACCCTAATGGCAACTCCTGGCTTGAGCATTGAGTAGAGTTCTAGAATACGACCCTTAGAGTGGAGCCACCGCGCAATGACGATGACGTACAAATTATATTCTCAGTGCATCTTGCGCATCCTGGGCGACATTTGGCGAGAACCTTACGCCGACTGGCAAATCTATTCACCACCGTGGCAAACATATCCCATGCACAGTTTAGCGGCTACTAGTGCCGTGGTCAGAATAACTATGTCCTAGTCCGCAATAATATAGTGTTTGCCATCGATAAGATAATAAGAAGACGAATCACGAATACACGTAATTACAATTTTAACTGAAAAATGTTATTTACATAGTTGATTCAGAATTTAATGTTTTATGTTGTGATGTAGATGATTCATTTTTATGTGACTCGTAAGTGACGTCCAGCGAAGATTTTGCTTATAAGTCAGTAAGAATTTATTGAACAAAAAGGTGATAAACTGTACAATTACTCTACAAATTTCCAATACGAACGATCACACGACGCGCTTTAACCTACCAGTATAAAAAAAGTCTTGACAAACTTGCCAGTAGCTTAGCTATGACTGCAGCCTACGTGGGTGAGCTTAAACTGGAAATATAAACTTACACTGTTGCCATAAATACGCTGCAAACTACCCAAGACTACCCAATTTTTAATACAATTTCTTAACAAAATACCTACAGTAAATAGCTCTGTATTCCTTAACTAAATATGACTTAACGCTATTTAGTAACATTATAAGGCAATTATAAATCACTACCCGCTGATATAATTTAAATTATTATATAACCGGATATAAAATGACATTAGCATATTGCTTATAAACAAATAATCATATCCCGTTATGCACAAAGAGGTATAACTTACACTTTTGACGAAAATAAATTATTTTTTTATTTATTTACTGTCAGCCTCGGTCACTTAATGGTTTCCACTGGGGGCACTAGATGGAGAGGTTTCATTTGGTATAACAACGTTTTAAAATTGATTCTGGTTGCGCCGTTTTGGGTAGTGCTCCGGAGTTATTTCAGTTACAGTCGGAATCCCGTTCCGAAATCGGAATTTCGAAGGCACCAAAACTATACAAATCGCGAACTTATCACACACATACAGTTAGTACTAATATACTAATATACAGTTACTACTACATACATATACAGTTAGTTAATACAGCTAGTACAAAATAGTTTTTGTTAGAATTTTTTCCGATTCGAAATCCCGTTTTGTGGCTTGTGCATGTGGAAATCTGCAGGGAAAAAGCCGTTCCGAATGCAAGTCTTCAATAGATTTTGTAGGGCCGCCACACAGTCGTATATTCCGTACGTATTTTCGCTGCGAAAACATCTGGACTCAATCCTTTGCGTATCTCAGCTAAGTCTTGTTATTCCGAACGGAAAGAAACGTATGTGTGTGATGTATATACGGAATCTCGAATCGATATTCCGAAACGGCATTTCGAAACGGAATTCCGACTGTATTTGGCCGGCCTTACTCTTGTACTTACAGTACAAGTAATTCCCTAGTTTGAGAACAGGTAAGTGGTGTGGCTGTTTGTTACAGTTAGTACATTATGAGAATTCCTTCTTTACGTCAAAATTGTAAGTTACTTGCTGTAAGAATCTATACACTTATAATCTAATCAATGGATTAAAATCTTTTAGTACACGTTGCATTAGCCACGTGTCCTTTTGTGTGTGTTTTATTTTCCACTTGCTAATCTTTAAACACGTGCTTGTAGGTTCTATGTCAATTGTATTCTATTACAGGAGTTTGAAGAGTCGGAGGAGTCGGAGAAGCCGACGAATGAAGAGTACGCGGTCGCCAAGTGGCTCAAGTCCAATGTTCCAACCAAGAAAACCAAGTTCCTTAACCACCATGTGGAGTACTTCACAGGTCAGTTGCAATGTGGTTCTCATCTTAAACATCCCTTAACTACTTGCGTATGGAGTAATCACACTTATCGACACAGAATCGCGTTAAGTCCGTCAGAAAATGCTTTATATTTATGTAATAAGGGCGAAACAGACGTTGGGCGTTTTTGTTGACGTCACACAACGACTTTTTCAAATTTTTAACAGATGTCAAAAAAAAGGAGGAGGTTCTCAATTCGACTGTACTTTTTTTGTTGTTGTAATGTTACGCGATTATTCGGCACGGCATCTGTGAACCGATTTTTTGTTGGAAAGAGGGTACCTCAGTATTGGTTCCATTTCAATTTGTAGAAAATATTTCACCTCTAAAGGTGGCAAACTATAGGATAAATCCGGTTTCGCGTACTATCCGGCAACCGATTTCTATAAAACTTGGCAAATAGATGTAATTTCATAAACTTTTGAAGTCGGTGTTTTTTAAGTAAAAAAGAAACAATATAAGGAAACCGCTAGTATTACTCAATTAGGGTTTCCTTATATGAATAGTAAAAATACATAACCTTTAAGAGCATATATTTAAAATTTCCGAAACCTTAATTTTAAATCCTTCTTCAAATATTTACACTTAGAAACTCGTTCGATTACGATTGAAATTTTCGATTTACCAATCTATTACAAAAACTTTAATTGAATGAACGGAATGTTTTGTTTTCGTATAGCACTACGCAACCATAGACAAGTCATAGAAGTATAGATGAAAACTAACCTCATTTTTTAGCCGACTTCAAAAAAAGGAGGAGGTTCTCAATTCGACGGTATGTTTTTTTTGTATGTATGTTACGCGATAACTCCGGTACTTGTGAACCGATTTCGATGATTCTTTTTTTTTTGTTGGAAAGAGGGTACCTCCATAATGGTCCCATTTCATTTTGAAGAAAATCATCCACCTCTAAGGGTGGCTGACCACGCATGAACATACAAAAAAAACTCTCAATATACTTTGAGTAGTGAGAACCGATTTTTATTATCTCCTATGTCAAGTTCCGTATAGTGGCGAACTAGGGGATGAATCCGGGTTTGCGCACTTTCCGGTAACCGCTTTCAATAAAACTTGGCAAATAGATGTAATTCCACATACTTTTGAGGTCGGTTTTTTTAGTACTCTGTACTGAGATTATTATGAACTACCATTTTTCAAATACGATTTTACGATGCTACTAAAATGAATATTGTTGGAAAAAGTAATGAGATATCAAGCAGAAATATTCGAAATATACGTGAAAGTGTTACTTATTCGAGTTATTGAGTGATTGCTTTAGAATTTTAACCAAACAAGTTTGTTTACTTTTTGTTGAAAATGGATTGAAACAGACTATAATAACGCACATACTAGCCACTAGTGAAAACCTGTGTCGCGGGTGCAATGGACACACGCAAAGACAACCACAGATTACACCCAAACTCACGAGAGAAATAAATATAGCCCATACAAATATTTCTTCCGGCCCGGGAATCGAACCCGGGGCCTCTGCGTGGCAGACCGGCATGGTAACCGTTCGGCCCCGGAGGCAGCTAATTAAATATTAGACGTTGTTCGTGGGTTATGCGTTTGTTACGTTGTATGAATGTGCTATTTTCACATATTAAGTCTTTGATTATCGATGTTGTAATTAATCGATGGTGCTAATCGATTATTAACCGATGCAAATCTCCATATCGATTGTTCCACTCGATATGGAACATTAATTTTGTAACTAATCAACACTGAGAACTTGTCAGTATCGTGTCCACAAATTCACACAAAGTGGACCAAGATTAGATTTACTGTTGGGTAATTTTTTGAAATTTCAAATAGTGGAAATTGTTCCCGAAAAATTCCCGACCAAATGGAAAAATTTGTATTTTAGGCTCATATGTTCTGCGTTTAGAATATCTTTTAAAGTTTTATTTAGCGTAAATTATAAAATAAACTTGTATAGCTATTAGTTAAAAGCCACATATAGAATAACGAGATTTAAAATGACTTCACAACAACGAAAAAGAACGTTTTTAGTGGCTCACCACCAGGTCACCAGATCTTACGAATATGCACATACATAAATGTTTGCAAATACAGGAAATTCGAAATCTTTGTATCAATTTATGATGTGCTAAAAATGTACTAAATCAAATTTATGAATTAAAAGAAAGTTAAAAATTATATATAAAACATAATAACAGATAGATGGACAAAAGTATGTCTACATGGGATTTTTAATCAGAGGAAATACTGTATTAAATTGATGATTAACGTTCTTTGCTCTGAATGTTATTTGTTCGTAAATGTAGGCCGTTCTTCACGTTCAATTATGTCCCCGATAGATTATCGACAATGTTTATTGAACTGCCTGACTGAAGCTAAAACAATTTAACAATGGTATGTCATCTGACCTATTTTTATACACAATTTAATAACTGAATTTGATAACTCAGTAGCAGTACAGCTTGTTGTGAAACAGTTGGTCCAGGAAAGTACTGCCTGCTTTACCTATTCCTGCCGCCAAGCAGTAATAAGTATTACTGCGTTTCGGTTGTGTAGGGTTGGGGTGCTGGTGAAATTGCAAGGCACATGGGACTTTTGACTTGTATCTCAGAGCGACAGGCGCATTGGCAGTGCCTCTCAGTAACATTCTCTTGCAGATATCTTTGCGATTTAAAACTCTCAGCATAACAACGTCTGTTATGGACAGGCGTGTCGCTTACTATCAGGCGCGCGACTTGTTCGCCCAGTCACTTGGTACCATAAAAAAAACTGAATAATAATTATTTGAAATGGGTACCAACATGAGATCATAGTTTTGCGAAAATGGCATCTAAAGAATTTTTCGTTGTTTTTGGTAGTTTGTTCTAAAATTTTCAGTTGCTGTCGTGTTTGCCGTTGTTAGGGAATTATAGTAATAAATCACAACAGTCCATCCTGTCTCAGATAGCAGCAAAAGTTTTTGTTTTATGAGTAAATTTTAGAACAAACTATCAAAACAACGAAAATAATGTTTAGTTACCATTTTCGCAAAGCATGATAATGTTGCTTGTCACGTTACTGCTTGTCAGCATCCAAATTCAGGAAATAATTCCTGTATCACATATTAGATTGAACAGTGAAACATTGTACAAAGTTTACCAGCCTGATACGATATGTGCAGAGACCTAACGTTGCGTCAATATGGTAGAATATATTCATCTAGAAAATCTTGTGATATGCTGTGTCACTGGAACGTGTATAGTTACAGATACTAGACTCGTAATAACGTTGCATCGGCATCTGCTGAAACAAATCAATCACTTTTACGATTGTTTTATTGTTCTACCGCGTCGTAGAAATCGCAATAGCGGTGTTTCGGTTTCTGTTTGAGGTCACTGCAATGATTTAGTCGTATCACAAATGAGCTATTAAACATAAATGTTTGTTTTTAGCGAAAATAAACTTTATTACGTTAGATTCTTAGGTTTTATTGGATTCTTTTTTGTTTTATGGTTACATTAAGTTTAGATGAATCGTTTTTATTTGCTTTTGAATTAGGTTTTCACCATTTCGGAAGACGTTCTCCGGGGCAAGTTTGATTCCCGGAATTTATTTATTTATATTAGTTGTGGGTCAAGTCGGGCTGTTGATGATTTATTTGTTTATTATTTCAGGCACAAAAGCAGTAGATGCGCTGCTAACATCAAAATGGGCGACGGGCAAGAACCGCATCTTCAAGACGCGGCAGGAAGTCACCGATTTCTTGCATTCCATGCTGTTGCACAAATTATTTCACAGAGCTAAAAAGGTAAAGCAAGTCTGCATAAAAAACTGCGTCATATTTGTCACCGGTGTCACCGTCACTGGTAGATATCACCGCCTACCCATTACTACCGCAAAGCAGCACTGTTGTCGCGGTTGGAAATGTAGGGGCTAATTTTTAGGTTAGTTTTCTCCACGTAATTTCAGTAATTTGTGTATTGAAATATTCTGGAATATTGTCATGAAATATTTTTTAATATTCGAGGATCCATTTAATTGAATATTTCACAATAATATAATGAAAATTGCCAATTAAATTAGGCAGAGAAAACAGACCTGAAAATTATCCAATGATAATCATTGTACAAAGGTATAGGAGACACACGGGCAACACAGTTGCGTTATTAAAAACTTCTACTTTCATAATACGAGTATATTTTAATTGGTTCTCTGTACAGAATCCGCTTGGATATTATTAGATCATTCTGAATTCTGTTCAAATATAGATACAGGCGGGAAATGCCAAAACATAACTTTGTCACATCACGCGTTTGACGATGATATCCTACTTTGTATATTTGTTGTTTTAATGTGGTTTTTTCTTTTTGTGACTAATGTGTAACAGTATTAGTGTAAATCTACTTGCCTTTGATAAGTAATTTATCTTTTTTTCTAAATATGGAAATTTATTAATGGCATTTTCACTCTCAGCTGTATATATAACTTTAATACTAATTCTTCTTAGGAAATGAAACTATTTTTCCGGATTTAAATCGCGTATATTTGTTTTTTCAAACAAACCGACGTTTCGGGACCTTTACAGGTCCCATGGTCAACCGTAAAGGGCCCCAATGACCCTATGTGTAACAATCGCGAAAACCCAAGAACTCGATAAGTGATTCTTCTTCTTCAAATGGCTCTCCATTATTGAAGGTCGGCAGCCAGTTTGCTATATATTTCTTTATCCAGAGCTAGGCTGAACAGTTGTTCCACGGTCTTGACGGCCGGTCCACTCTCTGATGTTACGAAGCCATGACATTTTCCTTCTCCAACCTTCCGCTTCCCAGCTACTTTACCCGTCATTATATGCAGTAGATGATATCTGTCGTGTCGCAGTACATCACCCAAAAAGGCAACCTTCCGCTGCTTGACAGTGCGTACCAACTTCACCTTCTTCGCCATACGTTTAAGGACCTCGACATTCGTGACTTTGTCCGTCCAACTGATGCGGAGCATTCAACGATAGCACCTACATTTCGAACGCTTCAAGTTTCTTCTTGACGTCTTCTTTTATGGTCCGTGATTCGCATCCATAAAGTACGACTGGCCAGATGTAGCACTGCAAGAGCCTTGTGCGGAGTTTAATAGATAGCTGCCGGCTGCCTAAAACTTTCCGGTCTTGATGATTCCTCAAGTCCGGCTGAATGTTCTTAGATACTTTCTTGGTATTTGGTTTTTTTTTATTATAATTTTTTTTTTGGTATTTATTATGGCATTTCTTTCGCTCTCGTCTTTATGCGTGATAACCACTTGCCAGGTCGACCATCTGACTGTTTGCTGATTTTAATACTTCAAAAAATGTCACCTCAACAAGTAAATATTTTTTTATGATATAAATAACTGCCTCTGTTGCCACACTGGATTGCCACGCGGAGGTCCCAGGTTCGATTCCCGGGCCGGGAGAAATATTTGTGTGGCCTAAATTTATTTCTCTCGTGAGTTTGGGTGTAATTTGTGGTTGTGTGTGTGTGTGTCTATGTGTGTGTCCATGGCACCCGCGATACAGTATTTTCCTAGTGTGAGGCTATGATAAAAAAAGTGACGGAACGGACAAGTCGTGCGCCTGGTGGTAAGCAACACGCCTATTCATAACAGTTACAGTGCCACACAGAGCTTTAAATAGCAAAGATATGAGAGGCACTGCCACAGCGCCACTCGCCTTTGTTGGGCGGCAGAAATGGGTAAACTGGCAGTACTGGATAAACTTTTTCACAAGGAGCTTACTAAATTGTCAGCACACGGAGACACTGGAGGCTTAAGATCCCAGGTAGCCGTGACACACCACATTTCCGAACAAAACTCGGAAACCTTTTGGAACTAAATCTATAATTTGTCAATTTTGTGATCTTTAACCACGATTGGACAAAAATCAATCATAACATAACCAAATCAAGTTCTCGACTTTTATATATCTGATGATTGTTATTAAATAATTGCAGGTTCCTGTAAGCGAGCAAGAATTGAAAGGCAAATCAAAGAAGAAGGAGTTGGAGAAAGGCAAGAGCGGTGATGAGAAGGATGGAGATAAGGGACAGGGAAGCGCTTGCGAGTCCAAGGTGACAAGCATTTTTTATCCACATCTGAGCGATAAAAACGTTCGTTCTATACCACAACGCCTGTTATAGTTTTGAGGTAGACAGAGACTATAGACATTGTATAATAAGACAAGTAAGGTAACTCCGTACAAACGTAACAGTGCGGCTTGTATGTGTGTACGCTCGCTGCGGGACGTGTACCGACGCACACATTCGCATAGTTTCGCGGTGCACTATCTTTGCATGGCACGAGTGTCGCGCGCCATGCATTCATTATAGAATTGAAGCGTGCGCTCGTGTGTGAGTGAGTGACACAAATTCAGAATGGTTCAGCATTATTTAATTTCTATATCATGAACATGTTCCCATAATCGAGATACCCTTCCGCGATGTTGGTATAGAAATATGAAAACGTAAATACTGCATTTAACAAAGGTTTATTCCAATATAGCACGAGAATACTGTGATGAACACCTGTATATGGACTTTTCTGTACGTAGGACTAATAGTACATTTACGAACGAGACTATAAAAGCCCGAAGTCGAGGTTAGTAATTCCCGTACCGCCCCTGAAACACAATATTTTTTGTCACATTTACACGTAAGTATGATTACATGCAGGCTACAACTAGAGGGTTGTTAATGACAAGAAAAAAGGCCCGAGAGTTTTATTTGGGGCATTAAAGTCAAGTTAGCCTGCATGCCTTCCTACTATTAATGTGCAAGTGTGATGAAAAATAATAATGTGACAACCCTTCGCTCCGAGCGTAATGTAAGCATTGATGCGTCGAACAGGCGGGAGTTGCAATACTTGTCGATTATTATTCTATGCTACAGATCTGCACTTACTATGCTAATGGCAATCATATTAAGAAAAGTATAGCATTATGAAGCTTTTTAAAGTAAATCCAACATGCGTACTTTGTTGCTGTCTCGTCCATTTCACATTTTTTTTATAATAACACGTGACAGGACGAACGAATCGTGCGCCCGGTGGTAAGCGACACGCCTATCCATAACAGTTGCAATGACCAAGTGCTTTAAATCGCAAAGATGTTATAAGCACTGCCACTGCGCCCGTCACCCTGAGCCATACGTTTATCCTTCTAAACCGGAATACATTACTGCTTGGCGGCAGAAATAGGTAAGGTATAGGTAGGCAGTACTTCCTTGGACGGATTCTTTCAAATGCAGTTCTACTGCTATAGTAGACGTTGACATTCGCGAAATTCTTATTGGTGGACCTTTAACTTGTATTCATGCTATCTGTGTATCAAACAGATGATTGTAACTTCTGCTTCTTTCTTCCAGGCCGACTCGAAAGAGGACAAAAAGGAAGCGGAAAGGAAGAAACGCAAGATTCGTCTCGAAATGCACATGGAACAACTGTTCCTGGACACAAATGACGCATACGTGTGGATTTACGACCCTATGCCCTGGTATTACTGGGTGTGCGGAACGCTGGTTGTCTTTGGCACTATTACCGTTTGCATGTTCCCGCTATGGCCTGCTACTGTCAGGTGAGATTTTATAACATTTTTTTCAGGTTATTGAAAGATATAGAGCGGGGGTTGCGCCTCAATCAGAGGTTGATGGATCGAATTCCGGTGGAGACATGTACATATGATTTTAAATTTCTAAATTACGTAGTTTCGTTTTCAGTTCAAACGGTTTTTGGTGTTTTTATTTATTTTTTTATTTTGTACATTAAGCCATTTTCGCCCATCTTATTACTATTATTTAATTCAGTACTCGTGGTTTATAGCGTAGTTCAATTAGTAGCAGTAGAGCTCCTTGTGAAAGAGTTCGTCCAGAGAAGTACTGCTACCTTACCTATTTCGGCCGCCAAGCAGTAAAGTGAGCATTACTGCGTTCCGGTTTTTTTAGGGTAGGGGCGCTGGACTGGCACATGGGACTTGTCAACATGTCCCAGGATGACAGGTGCAGTGGCAGTGCCCCTCTGATTATTTAAGTTTTAAAACTCTGAGTGGCACAGCAACTGGATCGGAAAGGCGTGTACCTTACCACCAGGCCCACGAATTGTTCGTCCCGTCACTTGATATTATAAAAAAAGTTCTCTGTTTATTAGTATTGTAATGACTGTTTGGACCAAAATAAATAAAAAAAACCTCTAGCTAACATTAAAAGAAAATATCGAAATGATATCTGCGCTTTAAAGAAGTCCACAAACTTTTAGAAAACGTGTTAAGTCCCCAACCCGCATTGAGACAGCTTAGGAGACCGATGATTAAAATATACGAACATCAGCCCCCGTAGTATGGCTACGCATGTTAGTCGTGACATTAAAATAAGCGCGCGCTATTGGCTGTCTCAATCAGATCTAATTTAGATAGCCAATAGGGCGCGGTTATTTCAATTTCATCGCGCAAGTCGGGACAATACGTAGTCAAAAAATTTAGTAACGATTCGCTACAATTTCGGTTTTCCGTTTCTAGAAAAGGCGTATACTACCTAAGTATTGCGGCGGCTGCGTTCCTGGTGATGATCATCGCTCTGACCGTGCTCCGAGTGGTGATATTCTGTTTGGTATGGATCCTGACTGTATCGCGTCATCACCTATGGCTACTGCCAAACCTGACTGAGGATGTCGGTTTCTTCGCTTCTTTCTGGCCGCTGTACAAGGTTAGTATATCGGTGGCTTTATGTATAGCTAATATAATTTAACCCAATGAAATACTAACGTAAAAGAACATTTTTGTAACTATATTGTACATACACACATATCGTCATACCTTCGTCTCCAACCGGGGAAGGGTAGAGACTATGAACCTCCACTTGCCAAGCTCCTGACAACCCTCCCTTCTCTCCTCATCAGTAAAATAAAATTTCTTATATATCAATATAATATTCTTCCTATAAAAGCACCGTTACGTCGAGGGACGAGGCGAAATCAAGGTTGTACTTTTTAGCGAAAATGCCCAATAATTACACTTGTCTATGGAAATTCATAGCGCTTTTTTTACTTTACAGTATGAATACCGCGGTCCAGGGTCTGAGAGCGACAAAGCCTCCAAAAATAAGAAAAAACGCAAGAAAGACAAGCACTCCGACGAAGAAGCGGACGAAAAAGCACCGCTCATTGAGAAGAAGCCAGCGGAAGCGGAACTGGAAGCGAGAGCAGACGAGGCTACTGATAAATCTGAACTGGAACTGTTGGTGGAACCGGACACTGAAGACATAAAGTAATTGTTTTCTATACGAAAATAAACACATTCGATGAACTTGGTCACTCGGTGGTTGTTCGCACTATGTGAGCTCGATAAAGAGTTCCTAGGTTCGATTCCCGTTAGAACCAATTGAGGTTACTGACTTTTTTATTTCACTCTGGGTGTTCTGAGTTAGTACCCCTGGAGTTAATTTCGTTATATAAAATAGGGGATTTCGCACTTTGAAACCAGGAAACCTACCATGAAATACGATACAACGTGACTGCGGCCGCAACGAAGCTCATATGTACGATGTATTACGATGAAAGTAATGTCAAAATTAATACGAAAGCTGTCATTTGACGTTTCGTAGTAAGGACTTATCGCTCATTTGGTGCATTGACGTAATTGTAATTTTGGTAAATTGAATTAAGTATGTTAACACATCTGGAACATAAAAAAGTGTAAAAGTGTTAAATTTATATATATTGTAAAAATACGCAAAGTTTTGTAAAAGTGTTACATTTATATATATTGTAAAAATACGCAGTTTTTTTTTACGCGTCATAAATAGAAATTTATGATAAAGACGGCAGAATATAAAAAACAATCTCAACAAGCCATTCTAAACCTTAATTCGTTAGTTCCAGAGATGACACATCAACGCCGCCAGCGAAGAAGAACTCCGAGTCAGAATCGGAGAACAGTCAACGTTCGTCCACCGATCGTGACTTCGAAATAGTTGATGCAGGGGATCTCGAACCGGACGATAACACTACTTAAATGCACGTCACACCAGTGTAAAACGAGCTGGGACGGGTATCTCATCTCATGACTTATTTCAAGCCAATTTCGCCATATAAATATCCAGCCAGAGACTATGATAGTAGTTCAAATAAATACGACTCAGCACGCGAAGTTCTTTTTAAAATGGCCTTATTATTATTTTCTCGGTTTTCCGTTACTATGCGTCGATCTTTTTCGTTTCCAGCTGTTAATTTGTACACCAAACTAAAATTTGATAAATTTTTCACCTCACTAGCTCGGAAAGGCTTTCTTTCTCATTAGAAATCAGCGCATACAAGCGTTATTTCCACGCTAGCGTGGAAAAGGTTTTTGAAATTCGAGCTTGACGATGGACTGTGATGCACCTAATTTTTTCTTCCGATGAAAAAGAAACATAGAGACACGTTCAACTACGCGATTTGTCGTACATTATTTATGTAATATAAATCAGTTGGTATATTTTATTCTTATTGTTGTTGATATTAAATTAATAAAGATAACTAATTTTTTTAAGTTAAATTATTTTAATTCGTCGAAGAACTAAACCGATTTGTTTATTGATGAACTGTTTTTCTTTCATCTACGATTTTTCTCGCTATAGTGAAATGAAAAGTTGTGTGTTTCGCTCGGCAGCAAAGTTGTTTAGCGTCTCGTGCCTTGAAACTCTCACTCATGATTCTATTTTAGAATCACTCGCTTCGCTCGTGGTTCAATCTTGGACTCCTTCGCTTGCTCAGGTTTCAATACAAGCACCGCGTCAAATAACAACTTTGCAGCCTTGCATAACAAATAACTATTTATTGCTCCGCGTGCAATAAACAATTTTCCGCAAATTTTTCACAAATGTTATCATAACTATAACTCAACGTCAGCAGCGTTTTTAAGGCTGTATGGCTTATGTACTGGCTTTGTTCCTATAAGTACATTTTGTTATGTCAGTGGCGTAATTTATATTATTTTTCTATATACACGTCTGTCGTCTCGGCTACGGGCCACGGAGGGAAAGTATATTCCAGGTAGGATAACATCATGCTGTTCCTTTAAATTAGGATACTAAGTTGCTCCTAAGGAATTAATTCTAATAGTTGACCCTTTCGATCGGCATCATTAAAAATACATTTTTTTTAATTTGTTCAATTCGATTCCGAAACAGGCATATTTTTTTATAATAAAATAATATCTCCATGTAGCAAAATATCTTATCCACAATATTAAATATTTTCCCTCCGTGTCCCATAGCTTGAGACACCGTGTATAGTTTAAATTTAAAATTCTCGCTTACTCGAATATTTTGCTGTCACAGTGCACTCTAGATTGACTAATATTTTTCGCTTTGTCGCTGTGACTGCAAAAACAATATGTACAGTGCATTTATTAAAGTTTTATTTAGGTATTTAGTTTAATATTGCCCTCGTATAATAATGATAGAATATAATCTATCTTGGACGTACTACTGTGTGACAGTGGTGTGATTTTAAAAATATTAAATTAAATGGCCATATCACATGAGCGGCATTAGAGCGTATACGACGTGACAGTCTTTAAGTCTTTTATGAAAAAACACGTCCGAAAAATGTCAGTAAACAATAGAAAGTATAATTGAAATAGTTTTATTTGCAAAAAACACGGTATTAGTAATGTTAAAAGTGCATAATATATGGTTAAGGAGTCTTGCGCTATTTCTTACAATATGCAGTCAGCTAAAAAACGATATTGTTTGCCGCCAATAACGCTGTGTGGGATGACCTTAAAAACTCCTCATACCTATTCACAATTGACAGCAGTATCAATTGCACGCGGTGTGTGAAGCCTCATTCAATATCAAACATTGCTCAATATCAAACATTGCTTTTGTATAATTACTTGAAGATACCCTACCCAGCACGCCAAGACTGTAGCAGTTTTTTTTAGAATACACGAATTTAGATTAAATTTAATGTATTCCCAACAATGGGTCCGCAATGTTTCCTGGTGTTGCCATTTTCGGGATTTCTTAGACGAATTTAGAAATTTTTTCTAGAAAGTTACCAAAAATATAATTTATTCTTATTTTCGGTGTTTCGAATACAGGGTGTATTGGTGGTCGTAATTACATTTCTTTCATGATTTTTTTAAAAGAAATCATAGCCCTGTTCAGAAAAAAAAAATACTGAAAATCTCCACCGAGAAACATATATGTGTCGTAACGTAATCATAGGTAGGTGATTTAGACAAATTAATGATTGTGCTGTATTTATGAATTGTTTGCAAACAAAATATTTAATTTGTTATATAACTATTATTGGTTTTGTGAATTTTGGTGCTGTATAATATCTATATTTTATATTACGCATATTACAATACAAATTCTTTAAAAAAAAATCGAAACTACATACTAAATCGATAATACATTGCATACTATAATTCTTCTGATTATACATATGTAGTCGTAGTGATAAATCAAATTCTTAAAATCCCATGTCCTTTTAATACCTATTAATGATAATAATATGATGATTAATAGTACTTTAGACTAGGTAGTGTTAGATTTTCATATACAGTATTTTGATGTAATAAAATAAGAAATAGTCAAAATGGTTATGTCGTGGCATGCAAATGCGGTTGCAATTTTTTTCTTCAGGTCCAATATGGACCAATGAATCAAGGGGACTGTTAATCGCGATACAAGACAACGTATTTGAGTATTTAGTACCTCTTGGTAACAAATAGCTATTTTCGTGACTGTTTTTTTACATTGACAAGCTGCAATTTATCAAAGCCTACTAAAGTGACACTGGCGATGATTGCTATAATTTTTATATTATTCTTATAAAACTGACGCTGACACAAGCTGTGTGGCCGCCATAAAGGAAATCATAATACTCTAATTTTTAGTGTTAACAAACAAATCTACTAGATGGCAGTAGCAGTAGAGCTTTTTGTGAAAGAGTTCGTCCAGGGAAGTACTGCCACCTTAGCTATTTCTGCCGCCAAACAGTAATGTCAGCATTACTGTGTTCCGGTTGGTAAGGGTAACGGTGCTGGTGAAATTACAGGCACATGGGACATGTCAACTTATGTCTCAGAGTGACGGGCGCAGTGGCAGAGCCCCTCGGATCTTTGGGATTTGAAGCTCCGAGGACACGGCAATTGTTATGGACAGGCGTGTAGCTTACCATCAAGCGCACGACTTATTCGTCTCGTTACTTGATATTATAAAAAAAAGATGGCGCTTATTGCACAGGTTTTTATGGATAGTACAGGCTATTCTTTTATTTTGTTTAGGGTTAGCGCCATCTACGCATATTAGGAAGCGTTAATTTATAAATTAGCTTGTAAACACATAACGCCATCTATTGACACGTATATTTGTCAAAGTTCTTAAAATAATTTTAGCTCATGATCAATATTTCAATAATATTACAAGGGAAAAAAACTTACTTCATACATTTCATATTAAAGAGGAATTTATTGATATACACTACCATTTACATAATATTAAATACTCTCAGGATAATGATCAGCGCCATCTAGAATAAGGCGGAATTTTCGAGTTACAATCTGTAGTATGGAGATTATTGGGTTCAGTAATTTTCAGGTAAGTTTTTTGTACTCAGTTTTGCTGATAATTTTTATTAATTTTTATAAAGAAATATTAAAGAATATTTCAGGTTACCACACACGAATATTAAATAATACTTCATGATGATATTCTATAAATATTTAAATAAAAAGAAATTGTCGCCAAAATTGAGTACAAAAAACTTACCTGAAAATTACCCAGTTGTTCAATTTTTAATTCGTATTCCAATCCTACATTGCAATCAAACTAAGCACACACCCGACCCCTTCTACGTAAAGTATCGTATGTCGAAATTGCCAAGTTTACGGGGGAGTGTGTGAGCTTTGCCGAATAAAACTGAGAAATGCTAAAGTCTCATAACAATGCTCATTTCAGTGAATTCAAAACTTTAAAACGCTCCCCTGCACACTTGACAATTTGGACATATGATACTTTACGTAGGAGAGGTCGTACACTGGTATTCAAACGAGTCTAGTTAAAATTTAATATAAATACCTCTTTAAAGGTCGGACTAGTATAAATACCTCTTTAAAGGTCGGACTCTAGTTATCAGTATGCATCAGCACTGACGTGGGTTTTATAAGAGGTATCGTGAGTACGCTTGGTTCTAAAACATGCTGTCGGTAAGTGGAGTTTAACCCTAAACTCCTTTAAGAGCTCTCATGCCAAAAAAGTTTTGACGTTGGCTTCGTCTAAATTTGTAAAACAAATATATGCCTGAAGTTCGCGTGACATGCAACAGGAGATGTTGAATTTTGCGCATTAAAAGTACCAAATGCGTTTTAGCGGAATAACTCTTAAAACTAAAGGGATTTAAAAAAATCCGTAGTGACAGATGTCGATCATGCATAAATACAATTAATTATCTCATTTTTGTCCTAAAAACCTGTAGCATTTCGAGGATAAATCGAAAAAATGTGAAAATTAGAGGTCATTTCGTGATTTTTATCTATCGAGGAAACTTTATTGTTTTATGTTTCTGATTAATGTCTATGCTTGAATATATCGTAGTTACTTATACAATATTTTATGTTTAACTTTAAAGTGGATATACCCCTCTAAAATAAAATCGAAGATTAGGAATTTTTCGTCTGCTCCCTCTTAATATTGACGCAATGTCTAAATAACTCGCTTGCATGTGACGATTGTTAAGATAGGTGTAATGTGTAATTATTTGTACGTTTATTTCAATCAAACTGCTATGTTTCGTCATATAATTAAAAATACTTATTAAAAATACTTGCATGTTTTACCTAACCGGTGTTGACTAATATACTTTGGACTTTATTTCTCTTCTATACGTTTAATACTTATATAGTCAGTTTGATTGAAGTAATGTACTTTTACAAGTGGACATAGTTATGCAGAAACTATCCAAGTGATAGTTCATATGAAATTTGAACATTTTAGCTACATAAAGATTGGCGTTTTTTACGTATTTTGGCATAGTTAACACTGAATTTTAACTTTAGTGGATTTAATCAGTCTAGCATAATTACGTATAAATAACAAATAGGTGAAGTATTTGTTCCAAGCTGTAATTGTAATATGCGTATTTTAGCGCTTACACGCGCATTATGGAAATTCTTTGCATTTTTTCCTCGAACATATCTGTGTTTTGTAAATACGGTACTCGTATCACGATCTTATTGGTGTTAATAATGACGTATTTAATGTTAATCAAAGGCAACTTAATAAAATGAAAATGTTCTTTTTTTGATGTTTTTATTTATAAGTTTGTATATCCATACGCAAACATCTACTAAATCTGTATCTTATATCGATATCGTCAGCACTCTTAGTGCTGCAGTGTTTCTCACGTATCCTGGAGAATGATCGCGCATTCGCGGGAATTTCCGCAACTGCCTAGGAGGCGTGCCTTTTCTAGCGTGACCATGGTCTAGTTTTTGAAATAATAAAAAGTCGCCATTAAGGCTTAATTTATATTGCGGCGGAATGGAATGGAAACGAATTTTTGTAACGATGTTGTACGTTGCAGAATGAACTTTATGGTTAATTGTGTAACGTACAAACTAGATACGGGCTAAAATCTTTCGCGGAATACGCGAGCACTCTCGAGCATGCGCAAGATTTAGATTCGTCAAAAGTTTGCTTCATTTCCGTTGCGCCGCAATATAAGTTGAGCCTAATGGTTTGTCTTACCTCCTCTCAAATAGAGTTCGAATCCGGGCTGAAACGGGATTTATGTGCGAAATTTACTATGAGATTTTCAGTGAAGTTTTCCTTAATGATGAAACCAGTACATCGAAGAAGACTAACAACCCTCTAAAAACGTGCGAAGTTCTCAACCCGCATTAGGCCACTGTAACGGACTATGGCCTAACCTGCCTAAGAGGAGACTCGTGCCTAGCAGTGGGACGTATAAACGGGATGATGATGATGTCCTTGACATATTTTTATCACAACACAATCATAGAATCAAATAATTCAATTTATTCCATCTTAATACAAATGTTACATTGATATTTCTGATTATAGTTCAGCACTGGGTTTGAATGAGTAGAAAAAATGGAAAAATAGTGACCAAAAGTGTCTATTCTGTCACCGTTAGTTGAAAGGGTGCTTTGACATTTTTTTATTTTTTTACATTGACCTATGGTCAATGTTTTTTATAAAAAAACACTATATTTTTTACTAGCTAGATAAGGTATGAAGTTGACGAAAAGGCCGGTATTAAAGGGTGCTGGTACAATTACAGGCACATGGGACTTGTCATGTCTCAGAGTGACGGGCGCAGTGGCAGCGCCCCTAAGATCTTTGCGAGTTAAAGCTTTGATAGGCGTGTCGCTTACCACCAGGCGCAGGACTTGTTCGTTCCGTCACTTGGTATTATGAAAAAAAAAACGCAAGAGAAAAGTAAATATTTGTTTCATTTTATTTCTTTATACATTATTTTCTCGGTTTTGAGTTTTTGTCACAAGCGCCCTTTCATCTAACGGCGGCAGTATTCTATTTATAAAATAAAAGAAATTAGTCTAGTATATTATATTAGTCTTAGTCTAGTAGACAATGTAATTTAGGATGTAATCACAGTACAGCGTAGGTACTTACTACATGCCAGCTGTATAGGTTCAAGAACACTTAGGTAATGTAAATTGAGCCTTAAGATTTAAATTCAACTCTATTGCGCTTATGATTAGGAACGGCTCAAAGTGTCTTGTACTAGCAGATAGAATTCCCGTGCAGTCGTGCCGAGTTTATCTAAACTATTTTCCAATTACGCGATGTGTTTTTGTCGTTGACTGTACCGAATTATTTGAAATGAGAAAAAGATAACCAGATTTATTAAAAAAAAAAAGATAGCCTATGTATATTAACAATCCCACTGTTACAATAACTTTAAAATGAGTTTAAAATACAAGTGGGTTGTATTAAAATCATATAGAATAGATGTAATACATAAGTATATTAGCTGATTGATGATGATTTAATTACATAGTCAAAGATTAAAATGATTAATCGAAGCCTAACTTAAATTTTACAAGTTGCCACGTTTTTCTTGCTCATACTCTATTGCTTCGAACAGCGACTTAAAGTTGCCAGCGCCGAAACCCTGAAAATGTATGACGTTATTTTTAATGTATATTTATTTCCTTTATTTATTTTTTGCTGACAATGTTAATGAGACTTCATAAAAATCCCAGAAATCGTGTTGCATGGCAACTTTGACAGGAATAATAATAATATGTCAGACAACCACAATAATTTCTGGTTTCACACATCTGCCGAGCTGTTCAGAACGTTCGATTCGGATTCATTTACGGAAAACGTTTACGGAGTTAACCGGTGAAATAGTTTATAAGAAAAATGAAAATCCGTTTCTAAGGCCTAAAATATAGGATTGCATTAGCCTTGCATTAACATATATTAATAAAATTGAACAAAATCTAGACTTTTTAAATAATAAGAGAATCCATATTACATTCTGGCTTTGTAAACAATAATAATATAATAATAACGCACACACTCAACATTAGCCCCGCACTAGAGAAACCACAAAAGACACCCAAACTCACGAGAGAAAATTAAATAAGTGTAGGCCATACAAATCTTTCTCCCGGCCCGGGAATCGAACCTGGGACCTCTGCATGGCAGTCCGGCATGGTAACCATTCGGCCACAGAGGCAGTAAATAGTTCGGTAACTTTCATTCGATAACTGTGTTCTGAATAATGTAGCCTTTGCCGGTCGAGAAGTTCGAGTGATCGTATGGATGTGACGTCATTTCGGTTCGGTTCTAATACGACTGTTTGACGTTCGGTTATTGTGAATAAAAATGAAAAGAAATTGTACGATATCAAATCGGTAACCTTACGATAACTCAGTTGTCGACCGATTGTCGAAAACTGAGTTATCGTTAACTTCTGAGTCGATCCCCAGGTCTCAAATCAGGGAATTCTCTATACTATGAATACCAGAATAACGAAATTCGGTATGGTGCTTTACCCAGAACACCTAAACCAGAACCAAAACCGGGGAAGTGCGGACCTATTTCCGCCGTCAAGCCGTAATGAGAGCGTTGCTGCGTTCGAACGCGTTCTGCGTCGTTTGAAGGGTAAGTAAGGGTGCTAGTGAAATTATAGCCATATGGAACTTGTCAACTTATGTCTCGGGGTGACGGGCGCAGTGACAGTGCCCCTCAGATCTTTGTGATTTAAAGCTCTGAGTGGCACTGCAACTGTAATGGACCGGCGTGCCGCTTACAACCAGCCATTGGTATCATAAAAAAATTAGAAAAGTTCATTCCAAAATGGTCCTACCGGGAATCAACCCCGGGAGCTTTCGGGAGCGGGAGATTCAACGCCCATAATTATATGGGCGTTGAATTATACGTCGTGTCAAGTATCTTTAGCCGTTGGTCACTACATTTCCAAATAAAACTCCGAAACCTCTTTTACGGGTTATGAGCCTTCAGCTCGCGCTTTTCTTCCGGTGACGCAGTCAAGACCATCAGCGGTCAACTGCAAAGTGTCCTTCAAAAAAAAAGGAAAAAAGAAAAACCTCCTATGACTAGGTAAATCCATGTACAATGATCTATATTGCAATCTTTAACCACGATTGGTTCAAAATCAATCGAAATCTAAAAGGAGCTCTATTGAATACAGATATGTACAGTCGATGCCCTCAGAAACTTGACCCCCTAGCCAACCTTTTGGTTTTGAGAGCCTACTCGTACGTATTCAACAAAAAGCTGTAAAGGTATTCCAAATTTTTGGTTGAGATTTGTATTTCTGATGTAATTAATAATCAAATTGGCTTAAAAAGTTTCTAAAACATGCGTCATTCACACTCTAAATTTAATTTTACAGCTCGCAAGGTTAAATGATAAGTTTGTTAAACACCTTTCTTCACACTGATCTAATCAGAACCAAATAGACGGTTTATGTTTGGGCATCGACTACCTACTAATTTGACTTTCAAACTTACATTATGATTTCTCCTCTGTATAACCTCCATAAACAAAGTGGGACGATCCTGCGTATTCTTTGTAAATATCTGGAGTAGATATCCGTTGTCGTCAAAATCAATTAAAATATTCATTTTTTCCAATAAGTCCATGCTTTCAGCGACTCGTACTTTACTGTGACTCAGCTGTTCGCGGATTATGGTATAATATTTTGAGGGTATGGATAAAAACTCTACGCCACGAGCTCGGAGATTCTCAATCTGTAAGAAGCCATTCTTTGAATATTAATTAACAACAATAAAACTTGGGAGTGTGAGTGACTTAACATTTCTCACAACTCACCGCAGCAATAATATCTTCAGTATTAATAGCAATGTGCTGGACACCAGCGCCGCCATGGTACTCCACGTATTCTTGTATCTGAGACTTCTTCTTACCAGCAGCAGGTTCGTTGATAGGCACCTTCACTGTTTCTTCCCAATTCGCCATTACAATTGAGCGCAAGGCGGAGTATTCGGTACATACTTGCGAATCGTCTACTGACCAGAATCTGGAGAAAATGGAATCTTTAAACGTTGTGTTTGGTGGCCAGTTTTGGGCACTTAGTGACATTTGTGCATTAGGATTTGGATGTCATTGATCTTCAGATCTTCCAAGAATTTCACGCTTAAGTTTCCCAAATGCATGAAGTGAAGTTTAACCTACGATGATGTTTAATCTGTCAGGTATATTTACTTACCTATGGAACTGCAGGCATCTTTCGTACCACGACGCTACTGCTTCCATTCCTTTGTCAGGTTGGTTTCCTACAACGTGGTCTATGAAATTGATTTCCACTTTTGGCCTGAAACCCAAGAAAATTTTCAATATCCTTTAATACTGAACCGGAAATGTAACAGAAATACAAATTTTTTTTTCATTCAAAATAACCAGCTGTTCTGAAGGTTTCTTTTCTTTTTTTATTGAAAATAACCTGCTGTTTCTAGATTATATCATAAATGTAGGATAATTAAAAATATGGATCTGCTGAACATGCTAAGTAAAATGAGAGCAAATAGTCATTATTCTTTAACACAGAAAAATATTTTGTATATTTTAAACACCGACCGAACACGCTTTAATTTTATAACAAATGGTGCGTATCACTCGCGCTATGTAACTCGAGTGCCTCGCGAGATGTGCGAATGTGTGCGTCCGTACACGGCACTCAGCGGGCATGCACCCATACAATCCGTACTGCTACGTTTGTAAGGAGTACACTATTTGTCTACGAGAAACTTTCATTCTTGGTGTAGAAACGACCAGACGTTTCTACTGGGTCTAAACCCAATCTGTATTTACAACACGTCTAGCGACAAGTTCAGTGTTTGGGTTGACATCTAATTAAATCCATAAATGGTACTTACAAATATTTATGAATTGGGTCCTTCTCCAAAGATTGATATCCAGGTAAGAAATCGCCTTTATATTTTGATCTGTCCACTAAAGTATGTGTGTTGTCACCGTACTGTAATAAACAGGAAGCTACAGAAGCACATATTTCTCTTTTTTACTCTTTTGTATTCTGGACCCGGTTACACACGTAGATTGACATACGGTGAGTTCATATTCTTTTTAATGCTATCAAATAACGCGACGAACAAGTCGTGCGCCTGGAGGTAAACGACACGCACACCCATAAGGCTGTTAACAGATAAACTGCATGTTTATAGTTAATACGTGAAGTAGTAATCAAAATCATGCAGCCAGCAATGTTTCGGGCCCTTTACAGGTCCTATGGTCACAGTTGACTCTTTACAGGTTCCATGATCCCGTGATGAGCATGGTTAATTTGAAAAGATAAAATTATACGAAAAAGTATTTTCTGTTACTATAAACTATTTCTTGTTCCACTTAAACTTACTGTCTTAATTGTCGCCATCCTAACAACTCCAAATTCATCTTTCTCCTCCCACAAATCCTTAACAACTACAGCTCCTTGTTTCTTTGCGTAGTTGAATATATAGTCCAAATTTTCAACTTGGAAAGCTACGTCCTTCACAAAGTCTCCATGAAGTGATATCTCTCTGTTGAAGTCCGTCATTTCGGGTTCGTATTGCGCTTGGAAGACGAAAATTATCTGAAAACAAATATACCTCTTCACATCACGCTAAGTACCTGCTGAAGACATTCTGCGTTTCGCGTTGGTGGTCCAAGTGGGAGCGAAAGCCGCAACATCTTTTCACCCTTATTGTTTTTGCTGACTGGCTAGTACTTTATTTTCATTTATTTATTTATTATAAACATCATTGACTTACAATTATATGGACGTCGGGTCCGCGCTAAAAAGTGTCCGCACTTGTAAGGCGCTAAAATCGTATACAGAGCGCCAAACTCTGCTTTAGTCTTCATTTGTTCTACTGACAGCGCGATACTGCGATGACATTACAATTTAAATTTCGAATAGGTTGACTTGGGACATTTTTTTCGTGGTTTTTGTATTAGACCCGTCGTCCATTTATTTGTAAGTCAATGATAAACATGACAGAATTTACATGTATAATATAATTGTACAGTGTCCCAAAAAACAGTTTTCGGTTTACCGTGCACCGCCACTAGTCATCTAGTACATAGGTTCCCAAACTTTTTGGCCACCGTCCACTTAGGCAAGATAACAAAAATTTCAAAGTCCATCACCAAAAAAAAAATTGGAAACACGCATTTTTTATATTAACTTAACACAACAAAAAACACAAGGAAAAAAAATTGTAGTGTAGGACTCTTCAACGCCCATTGGGACCACATTGGATAACTATGATCTATATAGTACTTACAAGTACATTACATTTAACATTAAGTTTTAGTTATACAGTAATCAAAAGTACCAGCACAATAGACACTGTTAACTTAGTTGTAGGGTAAGATACAATGATAGATAATGTAGAATTGAATAATTGTACCTGCCCTGATCGATCGACACGCTGAGAGATGGTATTAGTGCGACAAATCCGTACCAGGGAGTCTACTCTCGATCTCCTTCAGACGTCAGACGTCAGACTCGACCAAATTAAAAGACGCATGATGCGAGTGAAGCTTCATATTTGAGGATTCGCTCTGGACCTTTTGGAGGGAAAAGTGTCGTTTTTATTTTGACTTTCAATTATTTTGTGAAATCTAGTTTAAAGTGGAATAGGATTGTGCCTTAATCGAAGACTAAAACGCGAAATTATGCGAATCTCGAACTAAAATACCCGTATCGGCCCGTTCTAGGGAATCCCGAGTCAATCCAAGCACGCCGCCTCAAATTGCCTATCTACTTTGTGGCGGCCATATTTACAGAAAAACTTATTTTTATGTTCTCGGCTGAAGGACTTTGTTTCCATGGCCAGAAATAAATTAATAAAAAAAACTTCATATTTGACGTTGTCTTTTAATTTGGTCGAATATTACTTATTTGACAGTTATTTTTTTCAGACGGATGTCGGACGGAGAATGAGGTTTAATGGTATTGGCTGATGGTACAGCAAATGGTATGGAGCGGATTTAAACTTCATTCATTTCCCAAATTGGTTCTACCGGAATCGAATCCGGGACCTCCTCATCAACTCACAGCGCAAACTGTTAGACCAGAGAATCGTTAAAAGGAAAGGTCGACGATACTAATTGATCTTTTTATTACATTTCAAAATGTTTACTATCAATACCTCTAACTAACGGTATAGTCCATTTGTTTAGGTACTTAACTAAATGTAAACAATCTTGAGATGTCTATTTAATGAAATATATCTACATTTATAAAATGATTTTTACTTACCTTCAAATACAAAATACAAATATTTAGCTTCATATGAAATTGCATGCCTATTTTTATTTACTATTGATTTGTAAAGCATGTTTCAATAAAAAGATGTATCAAGATTGTTTATATTTAGTTAAGTACCTAAACAAATGGACTATATAATAGGTTTAATAATAATAAATAATAATATTGTTAAAGATACCAGTAGACGAGTAGTAGCACACAACCGGCTTTTTCGATTGGCATTTTAATTTATTTGCAAATGATTTGTAAAGCCAAGGTCGCGCATTCGTCTGTTTATAAAAGGTATCGTAAAAACATTATAATGTATGTCACGGGTACGATGAGAAGTCACTTGAACCAATTTCCCACACTTACCTTGTTCATTCTTACAGCATATGAAGAGAATTTTCTAGACCCTGTCTCCAGGCCCTTATGAGCCAAGGGTTCAAAGCCAAACCGAGTCACATAGTAGCTTGCAGCCTGGAAAACATGTCACGATATACTATATTGTTTATCTAAACAAGTACAGTTTGCGGATTATTAATTAATGTCAAGAATCCTATAAACAATACAAATACGATAAAAAAATTACAGGTAATAATAATGTGCTAGTCTCTCATACAATTTGTTGGTCTCAAATTAGGTAATGCCTTGTACTATGAGTACCAGAGTAACGGAATTTACTTAGAGGCATCCAAAACACCCAGACTAGGACCAATTTAGAAAAGTTTATTTCCTAAATCCATACCTCCATTGAACATTACGCGAAGTTAATTTTTGAACCTGTTCAGTTTTAAATTTGTTTTTTGTTTCTTTTTTTCACCAAATTTTGTTTTTTGTGTTTTTTCGAATTTTGTTTCTCTTTTCTTCATTTATTTTTCAAAAAATTTGGGGAAAATAATATTGGTAAATAAATATGGCTGTTTACAAAAATAACAGAGAATGATCAAAAAATCAAGTTGGCATACTGTTCATTGGAGATATCGAAATTGGTCCTATAGGACCAATCAGGGGATCCCTATAGGGAATCGAACACGAGACCTCTTCATCTACCATGATATCGTCAAACAGAGAACAAGGTGCACCGCGAGATTATGCGAATGTGTGCATCGGTACACGGCGTGCGGCGGGCGTGCACACATACAAGCCGCACTGCTACGTTTGTATGGAGTTACCATACTTATTTATTATACGATGCCTTTACACACGGCCTGAAGTATGTTTTATTAGTTTTTATTTAGGCCAGTAACTACGTACTTACTTGCTTTGCGTTGGATACCCAAAACGTGACATGGTCGAATGCGAGAAACTGTCCCGCGTCAGGTTTTTTTCCTTTGTCCGTGTATGTAGTCTGAAAAAACAAAAAACAAGTTAAAAGTCAGTTACTATACGCATCAAAATTTCTTTTATCACGATTGATCTTAGAATTTTTATAATTATTAATACGTAGATTGAACCTTAGAAAAAAAATCCTTGGAATAATAAAGCCAAAAGAATAATGAAAATCGGTTTACAAATGCCTAAGAATTATCGCGTAACATACATACAAAACAAAACATACAGTCGAATTGATAATCGCCGTCTTTTTTTGAAGTCGGTTAAAAATAGCACAAATTTTAAAGTAAACAGACTTGTTTAACGTACCATGTTGTATTGAGTATTTACAGTTGCACTATTTTAGTTGACTTCACTAAATCGAGATACTATTTTTCTTACAGTCGCAGACGGTTCACCTTAGTATAATATCTCGTGAGGAATGAAACGGCATTAGCCGTAAGCGATCTGTTTTATAGGAAGCCAGACATCTGGAATTCATAAATTTGCGTTTGAACAAAAACAAGCTAGCTGTAAAGCCTTGTTCACTCTATTTTTATATGCGAAGAACTTTTGAACGTCTTGTAAAATGCTGGTGAAACTACAGGCACAAGGTCTACTCATGTCACAGGGTGTCGGCCCTGTGCCAGTGCCTCGCAGATCTTTGTGCTTTTAAGCTCTGAGTGGCACTGCGACTATTCTGATCAGGCGAGTAGCTTACCATCAGGGGCACGACTTGTTCGCCTCGTCAGTTGATATTATAAAAAAAAGTATAATAAGCGTTTTAGGAACAAATCGGGTGTAAATTACGTGACTGAATGCAATTCTGATAAGTAACAGTAAAAATACAATACCCAGGCATGGCACTTAAATGTATTTAGCCATTATGCAGTGTTATTAAATTTTTATTGAATGTTACAATGTGACACCACCATGATGTTCAATTATTTTTTGTAAAATTACTCTACTATAGTAGTTGTTATAATGATTAATATAAAGATCGAAACACTTACAAAAAATTCCTTCGATTCTGCCGGATTCGATAGAAGGAGCTAGGAGACGTCGGTTCGAATCCGGCTGGATCGAAGGAAGTGTTCGATATTAGTAGTAACATTTTTTTTATAATATCAACACTCAGACACTCAGAGCTTTAAATCGCAAAGATTTGAGGGGCACTGCGCCCGTCATCCTGAGACATAAGTAGACAAGTCCCATGTGCCTGTAATTTCATCAGCACCCTTACCCTTCAAAACCGGAACATAGGAATGCTCACACTACTGCTTGGCCGCAGAAATAGGTAAGGCGGCAGTACTTCCCTGGACGAACTCTTTCACAAAGAGCTCTACTGCTACTAAAAATTCATTATAACTATGAAGTGTAATTTAGCAACGCAACTGCCGCTAGAGCTTTCTGCAAACAAAATCCGCCGAGGATAATATCTATCCTATATTACACACATATACGTTATATCCTATATAATATAGCCTAACGATATGACTACCGTGCCGTGGGTTTGAACCCTGCTCGCACCTCTGAGTTTGTCGGAATTTATGTGCGAAATTTAATTTGAAATTTACCATGAGTTTTTCGGTGAAGAAAGCTCATAACCCTCAAAAAAAATGGGAAGTTAGACTAGCGGACTAGTGGGCACCAGGAAGGAGACCATGACGATAATATCTATCACCTGCACTCTTACCATCTTTTGTTATAGACTACGGAGATATGTAGATTACTTCACTTGTAACTTCTCGCCACCTAACGCTATTTTGCAGTCAAACTTTATAGCTGTACAGTTTTGTAGGATTACCTATCAACAGTCCGAAGTGACATTTTCCAGAAATAACTTTTGGTCGAAATTTCATAACCTCGCAAGTAATTTTAAGAGGAAAATGTTTTTTCTTTTAAACCTAACTTAACATTCAATATATCCTGAAAGGACAACTGTTTCGTTATAATTCCGTTTTCGGTGTAATGAAAATTCGAACGAACGTTATTTCGGACAAAAAAAATCGACTTTGTGATAGGTTACCGTTTTGTAGGACTATTTACTTATTTAAGCTAAGAAATTGTACCCTTTTTAAGTTCTAAAATAAAAAAACAATTAGGTGTAACAGTGAGTAGAGATTATCAAAGATGTGGACTCGGCTTTATACAGCGCGGTGTATGGTATGATGTCGTAGCAAGGTACCCAACCTGTTGCGCCGAGCCTCCTTTGATTGCGCAGTGGGCCGATTTGATCATTTTTTATTAAATATAAAATAATTTACTTCAAATTTGTATTGGACCAATGAGGTACCTCCTTTCCAACAAAAAAAAGAATCGTCGAAATCGGTTTTCAAATGTAGAAGTAATCACGTAACATACACACAAATACAAACGAATTGAGAACTAATAAATATGTTTTACTCGTATAATTTTTCTGTCTCACATAAAATTATGTCCAAGAATAAGTAAACATTCCACTGTGTTCGATACTTGATAAACAAAATGCAAATTATGTTTTAATATAGAGAACTGGTCAGACCAATACGCTGAGGACAGAAACGGGGTGGCGAAGCGTCATAACGTTGACCTACTACTGTTGTAACGAGATGAAATAAAAAGTGTTCTGTCCTATTAGAAACATTGTTTCAAACTGGAGGAATTAATCTTATAAACTTGTAACATTAATGGATATGTGTTTTTTTTAGTATGAACATCAAACACCGTTATAAACAACCACTTGTTTTCAGAAGCTTTGTAACTCACAATTTGATAAAATAACAGCATATTAACGTATTGTGTACCTATTATATATATCTAGAATTGTATCTATTTTAAATGGGTTTAAACATTGACTTACAATTATATGGACGTCGGGTCCGCGCTACAAAGTGTCCGAACTTATAGGGCGTTAAAATCGTATACAGAGCGTCATTCACACTCTAGTCTTCGTTTGTTCGACTGACAGCGAAGCAAGCAAAATTAGACAGTACTGCGATGACATTACAATTTAAATTCAACGTTTTAGCTTTTTCATATTCCTTGAAATGTCACTACGTTTAAATAGGTTGACTTGGGACATTTTTTTCGTGGTTTTTGTATTAGACCCGTCGTCCATTTATTTGTAAGTCAATGGGTTTAAAGATAAAAGCTTACAGCGCTCCACTTGTATACATGGACTGATGTAGAAACAAATCTCGGTACGTATGTCATTTGAGGTTTTAAAGTTTGATAATGGTCATTTCTGTAGTAAATGTATGTAGTGAGTAAGGTCTAGTATAATATTTAATCGAAAAGTTACCAGTCTCCATATGCTTCGGTGTCTCCGGAGAGGCATACTTGCCAGGTGAAGTCTGAAGACCAGCAAACTGCTGAGACTTTTACTTTTTTCGAAATAGATTTAAGTAATTGTTTTACCTTAGAGCGGTTACATACGGCGACTTGCAATTGCTTATCGTCTGTCTACCTTTACACAGGCGCGTTTTTAAGCATCGATGCAAACACGATGCAAGCGCGCGACTGCATCGATACAAACGCGCAATTGTATCGCTGCTGTAATCGTTGTCACCGTGTGTAACCACTCTTAAATGTTGTGTATTTTGTGTTGAAGAATAAAATATTTTTATTTATTTATATACATTTTTTACTTCAAAGACCTTAAATTATTCAGATTCTAACAGCTATCTTCAAATGGTTAAGATTTCAAATAGATTTTTGTCTGTAATGCTTGAAATTCTGCACATGATTCCTAAAAAGGAACAACAATAGACTCAACGATGAAATAGACGGACAAACAATAAAATCTACACATCGACCTTCTGATACGCCAAAAGTTCGCTTCTTAAAACTGCTATTGACCGCGTGGAATAAATTTAAAGTTACCTAAGTACCTATTTGAAAATCTTTCGCTACATAAGACGAGGCAGTCTCTACCCCACGTTAGTGTCGGCTCGAGTCCGGGAGCGGCCGGTTCGTTTAGCATACACAAGTATTTAAAAGCGTTGCGTAATGATTTTTAAAACGCTGAGGGAATATTCCATGGAATTCTTTACTAATAAGAGTTTGAAATTAAAAATGTTACTTCGCTACTACTACACTACACTACTACTACAGGTTTATAAAGTTGCATACGAACTTAGTGGTGGAATAATAAATAGTAGAATTTACTAGAATACTTTAGATACTTTTACGTCACAAATCTATAAAACACAATATGAACACTTTAGTGTGTCAATTTGTTCCCTTTATTTACTATTTTGGCGGCAATCCACGTTCTACGTTGTGATGTGAAAAATTAGCTTTCATTAAAATTATGAGTTACGTGTAAATGATTTACGCTCTTTCACCTCAACAATCATTAAAATTCACTTTTGAAGTCATTTAATTCGTTAAATAGTCCATTGTAGATTTAATTTGGCGGTATGTGTTTTTAGTTCAACATGATAGATTATGGTACGAACTTTCAGAAGTTTGTTTCATTATTAACTAAATAAATTCTTTCATACAAAAAATATCAACGAAATAACGTACCAACTTTTCTTCTTTACCTTGATAACTTCACAATTTTAAATAGCAAATTGCCAGCGCTGTATGCAACGGTTATAAGACATATCATTTATTTATTCATTCAATCATTCACTCATTCATACATTCAATAGTTTTAACAGTTGACAAGGATAACTATCACTGTAAACCTAAGCTGTAAACTCATGGTAGATGTTTTGTGATACGTCTATTACTTTTGTATGTCGCTTTGTGTATTTCTTAGTAGGAATACCATTATTATTTTTTTATACGAAACAATTACCACACAATGCTGATAAATCATGGGAAGGTAATCATGGTATTAGCAATAAATAGCGAAATTTAAATTGCTAGTTAATGATTTTAGAAAATAGGTGAAGGATAACATGTTCGGAAACACGAAACGTAGTTACAAGTAATGAATATTGTTTTCGTAAACAAGTTATTGCTTTTGCAAACCATACATAGAGGCTAGTGGTGGAGAGAAACCGAGAAAAACAAATTAAATATGCTATTAGAATCACATAGGTACGTAGTTATAGCTCGCGTCAGTGACTGGGTTTGTAAACAAACGCCATTTTACCATAAAATAGTAACAATATGGCTAAAGGCAGAGATCGTCAGCTTAATTATATTTTGTGAAAACATATTTGCAGGCCGAGCACTCCTCGGTTGTACGCGTTAAAAAAGAAAACATTCTAATATAATAATATAATAATAATAAACCATTTATTTCAGGCCATAGCCCATAAGATAATGGTGTTAGTTACAAAAGAAAACCTTAGAACTATGTTAGTATGATTGCATTGAATTTTGAGATATTGATAGAAAATTTAAAATATTAAAATTTGGAAAATGCACAATAAAATTATTACTTAATTTGACCGGTTGTAATGTTTAGCCAAAACTTTAAAATTGTACAGTCAAAACGATGGGCAAACATCTTCAGGATGCCATTGCCACTGTCACGCACTCGCTTTAGCAGAGACGATACTTTTTTACGCCTAATGTCATAAAAGTCATCTGTTGGCGCTCCAGCAAACTGCACTGCAGTGCCGTGGCAGTCCCAACAGCATCCTGAAGATGTTAATGTACTGTACTCGTATTGAGTTGTATGTACGCTGTGTATATCTAACCCATAGACTACTCGATTATAACGTTTTTATGAACAAAACCCGACCTCAAAAGTTCGTGGAATTACGAACGTTACGTTTTTTGAAACCGGCTATCGGAAAAAGCGAGAATTGACAACCTCCACCTTTTTTAAAGTCGGTTAAAAATGCTCTGTGCATATTACAAGTATTTCAAAGCAAATATAAATTCCTTAAAATACTGTTTAAGCCTCTCGAAAGATCCTTAATTTATTATTATCTTAAAAATTTATGCACAACGGAAAGGTGAAATTGTAAATCAGTTTTTCTGTGGTGGAAACAGGACAAGCGTATTACTTTGTGTAATATTCTGACCCTAAATGTCATCCTTAAAAGTAAGTACTACCCGAAATTAAACATTTTGACACGCTTCTCCCCTTACTCTATAGATTGCAAGGCGGCCAGCTGCTACTTGGCATTTGACTATATCTATTTATTTGACACATTCAGCCGAATACTATTTATTTATTATGAAGAAAAGTGCGCTAACTGAGTAATGCGCTCTAATAATATCGACTGCTGCAACGTACAGTATTGAAACTACAAAATGCATACTTTACAGTCATTGACTTACAAATAAATGGACGACGGGTCTAATACAAAAACCACGAAAAAAATGTCCCAAGTCAACCTATTTAAACGTAGTGACATGTAAAGGAATATGAAAAAGCTAAAACGTTGAATTTAAATTGTAATGTCATCGCAGTATTGTCTAATTTTGCTTGCTTCGCTGTCAGTCGAACAAACGAAGACTAAAGCGTGAATGACGCTCTGTGTACGATTTTAACGCCCTATAAGTTCGGACACTTTTTAGCGCGGACCCGACGTCCATATAATTGTAAGTCAATGTTTACAGTACAGCTGTTTGAAGTTATATTTTGACTTAGAATAATAAGTTTTAAAAGCGTCGTGAAAGTGACACCCAATTATGATAGCTAATTTTATGTGCTTTCCTTAGGCCTTTGCATGATTTAAAAATTTTATGTATTTTTCTAGAATTTCAATAGTTTACCTTGTTAGAATTTGCTAGAAATTAATCGAAAGTGGTAGATTCGTTAGTATTCAGGGCTTGTAAAATTTGAACAAATATTGAATCTACCAGTTTCGGTACTTTTCATTGACAGTTTTTATAGAATCGATAAAAGTTTAACACTTTCGATTATTTATACCAAGTAATTTACGATCTGAAAGAGAAGAGGATACCAAAACCAAACACTGATATTATAATTTACTAACGTATATTTATTAATTATGAAATTAATTCAATTTTTTTATGGAATTCATTACGAGTAACATAGACAAATTAAAGCAACTTTTAACTATAATATATTAAATGAACTTTTGTACTGTAGTATGAGTTCTTTAAGTCTTTTTATGTAAATATTTTTTTTACTTTGTAACATAATCGATAAAATAAGTAACGTGACAAGTTATAGGATTGTATTCCAGAACTCTACTCAATGCTCAAGTCAGGACTTGAGTATGATTTCAAGCAGTGGAAATCATACTCAAGTCGTATTTCCAGTGCTTGAAATCATAGTCAAGTCCTGCCTAGAGCATTGAGTATAGTTCTGGAATAAGACCATCAGTGTTGTTATTTTTTTATATATAATATCAAGTGACGGGACGAACAAGTCGTGCGCCTGATGGTAAACTACACACCTATCCATAACAGTTGCAGTGCCACTCAGAGCTTTAAATCGCAAAGATCTGAGGCCTGTCACCCTTAGACATCATTTGACAAGTCCCATGTAATTTTACCAGAACCTTTACCCTTCAAAACCGGAACGCAATAATGCTCACATTACTACTTGGCGGCACAAATAATGAAGGTGGCAGTGCATCCCTGGACGAACTCTTTCACAAGGAGCTCTACTGCTGCTATTTGTTACTTACGTGTAAGTGAAATAATGAGGTGTTTATCGAGTTTTTAGGTTTTCGCGATTGTTACACTTAGGAAATGACACTATTTTTTTAGGGTCTAAATCGCCTGTATTTTTTTTTTTCAAACAAACCAACGTTTCGGGCCCTTTACATGTCCCATAGTCACGACAGACGTCAGGTACCGGCCCTGTAAAGTGCCCGAAACGTTAGTTTGTTTGAAAAAATAAGTATACGCGATTTAGATCCGAACAAAAATAGTTTAATTTTTTAATAAGACATTTATTACATAAAATTAATTTGTCAAGAATCTTTTACATTAGGAAAACTATATAAATATCACAAAAACACGTGTATGAACACGAAATCTTTATGTGATGTCGATATTATATTTATTACTGGCATACATGTAAAGGCTGTATATTACTATTGCGATTTTGCCCAGAGCAGTTGTCGGACCAAAATTTTATGTCTACTGCATCATTAGCTATATTTTATTTAACAAAATCTAATAAACAGCTACCGGTTGGTAGTTCGCGTCGTTTGCTTCATGTTTGCCAATATTGTGTGGTCCTCTAACCCCAGTATCGCAAATAGTAAACAGTGACAACGTGAAAGGCAGTTGAGAAATTTTTGGAAATCTTATGTTGCGTATACTATTTAGATGCAGTTTTAATTGCCATCATGTAAATCTTGCATAACTTGTGCTTTAGTGTTTCGTGCGGTTTCCTTGTTTGAAATGTGCTTGTCATAAGCAACATCTGCTCTTCAGTAGGGCTTCATCATCATCATCAACCTTTTTATACGACCCACTTCCTTTTTTCCTTGGTTTCCTCTCAGGCAAAGATTTAGACCATAGTCATATTTCCTCTCAGGCAAAGGTTCAGACCATAGAATAATGCGGTTGGGGACTTCACACGTTTGCCGAGTTTTGTGAACCTTCTTCGACGTGCAGGTTTCATTACGATGTTTTTCCTTAAGCCGGAATGCTCATGGTAAATTACGAATGAAATTTCGCACATAAATTCTGAAAAACTCAGAGATGCGTCTCATGTCTCATGTTCACGGCTGACTGAGATGGTAAAGTCGTCAACCAGTTACGTTTAATATTAATGCAAACCACCCTATTTTACACTCAGAATTAAACATGAAAAAAATCCAATATGCTAATTTACGAAGTATCTAGCGTAGAACTACATTATAACTGGTAGACTCGATAGATGTTTTCCATAGAAAACCATGGAAAGTGGTACGTTCGATAGCTCTAAGACAAGAAATAAACACGTATGCTATCGAAAGTGCCAGTTACTAGTAACTGGCAAGTTATAACTTTGTCGAAATTATATAAACCTAGAACACTGTCGAATCTCCCCTTTTCGATAGTTTTCTTGTTTAACCAGCCATCTGGTCACTTGGGTAAGAAAAAACGACACAAAGAACTAATTATTTTAAAAATATTTAGGAACTGATTACATAAGTGAAATTTTAGATAATTTATTTTTGATATTATGAAGGGATATAACAAAGTTATAAATACTTACCGAGTAAACTTTTTTTTTCGTTAGACGTGATTTCACTGTGACATTGTTGTTCATGTTTTATAACAAAATTAACCACACATCGACCTCGGCTATTCACTTATAACCTCCGATTTAAAAAAAATAAAGAACAAAACAAAAATAAGTAACTAAAACAAGTTAAAAGTAAACGAAAGAGACATACCCTCATTCTCTCACATCGCATCACGGCGAATACTGACGATTCGGTCGGTTACGAACTGTGCGCGCATACCGTCGCTTTAGAACAGTATCGATTGTACCTTATTCGATATTGTTTGTCGCTCATAGTGTGAAGTACCGATAGTATTCAATTTCAAACTTCCCTTAATATGTTTTTTTGACCACACTGTATATTTTTGTAATAGTACTCTTACAATTGATATTAATACAATAAAAAAAATGTAGATTTTGTAGTTTCAATACTGTTTGTTGCAGCGGTCGATATTGATAATGCATTTATGTGGGCCGATCCCAGCGGCACTGCAATGCCGGGCCGACCCGTGACAGGAGTGGAGCGAGCCCCGAACATCCCGTCTGATCACAAAAATCAGTTTAATATACTGGTCCCTCAATGAGGGAACTTTCAGATATTAAGCTGAAAAGAACAGATACTACACTTTGATCTTAGCCAAAAGGCCGAGAAGCGATGCCATTGCCGAAATGTTCCCAGGTAGTCATTCCGCGAGGGAAAATCTTAACACCGCGATTCAGAAATTAACACAAAACGTACAGTGCCATCTAGCGGTATGCTAGCGAAACGTTCTCGTGGGTACGAGTTTCATATTCGCATGTTTAAAAGGTAATAAGTCCAAACAAGATTTCGTACATCGATAAACTGTATTTTATTTTATATGTTTACAGGTAATATACTACTTATCGAGAATTAAGTAGCAGATATATGGAATTCAATGCGAGCAAATTTGTTAAGCTTTCTCTTCAATCTTCAATCTTCTCAATCAATCTTGGATTCTACAATCTTCTCGTCTTTATTAGTATTAGACGCATCCAGAAGCTCCATGGCTTCGAATACCCACTTGTAGTTCATAGCTCCAAATCCCTGAAAACAGTAATAATTAATAATTGAACCGACAAAAAATATATACAGAAAAATTTGTTTTCAGGGACACTAATCTATGTATGCATTAGGGTTTTTATCCCGGGAAACTTGGTTTTGAATGTTTCGAATCTCAATAATATTATGACATTTTTGAGACTGGAGAATATCGGGATTTTTAACACTCAAGTCAATTAAAAGTATTAAAAATGGAGTAAATTAACAGTCATTATTTATTCTGGTTACTTGGACATGGCAACGTTGTAGAGCACTGTAGAGTGGAGCTTATTATGACATATGAAGATTGAAGACGAGTAGTAACAACATCAAATCATCACCTACTATACAAGCGTTTTGTTTTTTGCGTAGGTACCCACTATAAAAATGGAAAATTAAATTTCATAAATATTTTTCATTTTATAGTTAGATTAAATAAGAACTTAATTAAAATACTGCAGCGCTCATGGAAGAATAAGTGGAGTTACGTCAAACGCTTACATCTTGTGACAAATATTGTAGACAGTGTTACAAGAATTGGAGATGATTTGGATTATATTTTTCTGTATCTAATGGAGCAATAAACATCTTTGATATGACTCCACTTAAGCCATTCTTCCATGAGGGGTGCGAATATTATGTTTTGATTGCCTAAATGTCGAGCCTAGGGTTTAAAGCGCGCGTAGTGCTCTTAACGTCAACGCCTTCGACGTTCTAATCAAGGTTGTAATTCAGTATATTCAGCAGCAACCGTAACATCAACTATTTTTTATGTATAAAGTTTAATCGCAAACAATAAAAGTTGACAAAAGGTAAACCTAATTTTTTATGTTTCTAGAAAAGGTCCGTTGGCTTTTTGAAATTTTTAGAGGGGTTCATGACTAGGAAAAGATTAAGAAACCCTGGTCTAGCGTATAAATATGAAAACCTACTTATGAGACAGTCTCGAAAGTGTCTTTTTTTCGGGATTTTTGAGACCGCATCGAGTCTCGATATTTTTTTCCCGTGACCCCGAAATGCAGGGAGACTGAAACCATTAATCTATCACAATATATTTGAGTATAAAAAGTACAGAACATTTGACAGGTTGTATTTTAGCCCACCGCAACGATTTCTCCGGAATAACGATTTTGTTATTCCAAGATCCTTCAGGTAACATTTAATAAAAGAAGTTTGAATCAAATCAGATCGTAGTTGACTACTACTAGGAATATTAGATGAATATACTCGTACTCTGTGATTTCTCCTTTGCAGAATCTCAATGAAGACCGTAGGCCTGGCCTGGACGTGTTTTGTGAACGCCTGCAGCATGTATCCTCTCTCGTCGAAGTCAATCAATATATTGTTCTTTTGCAATTCGTCTACGCTTTCCGCTACCTGGAAAACATCACCATAATAGTTCTATAAATAATAACTTTATTATTTGGAACTATTCTATTAATGTACTGTAGATGATGATTAAATTATTCAAAAGTATAAAAACAAAGTGCGAGATCTCCTTTTCCTTATTGATAAAATCTTAGACAAAATAAAATAAATGAATAAAGACAAAATTGTTGGGCTGACCACAAAAAAATATAGAAACATGATATAAGTTCGTATAAATGTTGTTGGCAAAACAGTGCATGAAAGTTCAAAGCATGTATGAAGTTTTACAATTTCGATTATGATATTTTTATAATACCCTGTATTGTTTATCTAAGTAACAACTATTGATATAGCATTAAATTGAAGGAAATCTTATAGTTCATTATGCGAATTATGCTTACCTACTATAGAAACAAGATTAAAATTTATTAACTGACTTCAAAAAACGGAGGAGGTTCTCAATTAGATTGTAATTTTTTGTATGTATGTTATGCGCTTACTGCGACATTTGGGAACCGATTTTGATGATTCGTTTTTGTTGGAAACAGGGTGCCTCAGTGTTGGTCCCATTTAAATTTGAAGAAAATATTCCACCTCTAAGGGTGGCAAACTAGGGGATGAATCCGGTTTCGTGCACTGTCCGGTGACCGATTTTAATAAGACGTGGCAAATAGATGTAAGTCCACGAATATTAGAGGTTGATTTTTTTAGTACTCTGTTCTCTAGTTTACTAGAAACAGAGTACACATTACCGCATTAGTACCTGCACAAAGTTACCTTGACAGAGCTTTCGCTCAGCTTCTTCCTGATGAGGTCATAGTAAGTTGGTGGCCAGGAAAGAATATCAGCGCCTCGAGCTTTTAAGTTTCTCATCTACGGTATAATTAAATTTCTATTATATGTATTATAACAATTCAACTGGTGTTTTGTTGCTCTTTCTACAAACGACTGTTTTAAAATATTCCTGTCCTGTCTTACATTCAATTTTAAAGCTTAAACTTAATTAAAACCAAATTGAATTTTAAAACAGGATGTAAATCTGATAAATATTTAGAAATGACGCTTTCGCCCTTTTTACAACACCGACGATGATGTATAAAGGACCGCTAAAGAAATTGAATTATGATAACAATGTTCATATCTTACTGGCCACATATACTAGAACGTTTAATCGTAATCAAAAGACGACAGAAGTTTTTTTTTTTTTTCAAATGAAACGTTCTGGCATTATTAGTGGCCAGTGAGTGGCTCATTTGAGCATTCTTATCATAATTCAACCTATTTCTAGCGTTTTCATCATAGATTTTTCATAAATACATATTATATGTCACTGAGTGTAGTAATTATTTGTAACGGCGAAAAAAGTAAATTGGCGGGATATTTTTTATTCAAGTTTGAAAATTCGATAATTAACACATTGAAAACAAAACCCTTGACTTTAGACCGTCCTTATCGAAAGCGTCGTAGATTTCAATTTAAATTTTAAGTCTGAAGTTTGGAATGCCCTTGCTCTATTACTTTAACCTGTAAATTGGTACATATACTTACAGTAGTAACAATGTCGTCGGTATAAAGAGCGACGTGTTCGACGCCAGAAGTTCCAAGAGCCTTCACAAATTCGGTAGCTTTGCTGGTAGGTCGCAGACCTTTAGCAGCTTCGTTCATTGACAGCTGCAAGACAAAAAAAAGTTAAAAAGCACAGTAAATAAAATTATTGATGTATGCTAGACTGAGATCAAAGCTACACAGCTGTTCAACACATTGGTTTGAGTTAATTAGTGATTGAGAATCCCCTCAAATGTATGTAAAGTTGTAATCAGATTGTGACAATGAATAATTTTATTAATATATTGTGTGGTCGTACATGGGTCGTACGGTAATACTGAATAGACATTTATAGCTGAGTTTTATTGAAGTACTCTTTTTTTAATATGAAATCCTAAAAGCAAAAGGGTAATTTTGAATTACTATAGTACCTTCGTGTTCACGATCCAGTTTAATCAATATAATGATTATTGTAGTTCTATCAACGCTGACATCTGCATAACGACTTCTTAAAACAAACGGCTAACATACATAGGTTGTTGTAGTGGAATTTTTTGCTAGGGTACTTATGTGGGCCGATCCCGGCGGCACTGCAATGCCGGGCCGACCCGTGACGGGAGTGGAGCGAGCCCCGAACATCCCGTCTGGTCACAAAAATCAGTTTAATATACTGGTCCCTCAATGAGGGAACTTTCAGATATTAAGCTGAAAAGAACAGATACTACACTTTGATCTTAGCCAAAAGGCCGAGAAGCGATACCGGTGCCGAAATGTTCCCAGGTAGTCATTCCGCGAGGGAAAATCTTAACACCGCGATTCAGAAATTAACACAAACCGTACAGTGCTATCTAGCGGTGAACGAGTGAACTACCACTTGACACAAAAACATTTGATGTACGCAACGCATTGGAATTGAGATTGTAGAGATGAGTAATTGGTAGTAAGTAATGTGATACAATAAAGTTAAATAAATCATTAATTCCATTAAGAAACAGTAAGTTCGGAAAGTGTATACTCACAAGCACAGTTTCGGTTTGATTTATGACAGAAGCGGAATTGATGCAGGAATAAGGTGTGATATCATGGTCGTAGTCGACGCACCAAAATCTGTTTATGAAAATAACTATATTGCATATTTATTAGTGTTGCAACGAGTAGTATAATACCGAATATTCGACCAGGATCGTGGTTAAATAGCCGGGTATTCGGCCATACTATTCGATCGGTACACATAGCGAAATTGGTACGAAAAATAGTACCTAACAAATAATTTTGTTTAATGAAACAAAAAAGGTACTTAATATTTTAAGTTTATAACTTAAATTTAGGATTACATGAAAAAAGTAATCGTTTATTACTTCGGTTTGATTAACTCTCAGAAACTTAGTTGTATATTTTTTTCGAAAATAAATACTTGGTTGATTTTGTTGACGTTTAAGTGAGTAAACTAATTATATAAGTAGGTAGTTTTTGTTTAATAATATTATGTTATTTTTTTATCTCTTACAAAAATAGCTTAGTCATTTCCTGTGACCCTTTAGAAATAGAAGCGAAAAATTGCGCTTTCGTGAACTTACAATGTATGTTTATCATTAACAAAACTCACATGATAATTTACTGTCTTTTTTTAAACATCTTCCTTGTGATTTTAGGTAGTCTGTATACGGCCGAATAGCAAATAACAGGCTGAATAAGCCAAATGCCGAATAGTAACCGAATATTCGTTGCAACTCTAAAATTGATATTATATGCATATTGAATCAACCAAATAAATACTCGTATAGCGGTACTGAGTCGTGGGTAAGACTATTATAGGCGCCTAATACAAGAAACCGTACAAACCTCATCAACAAAAATGGTAAAAGTTAGTGCACCTGTGCATATTGAGGTTCTTCTCATACCAGGAGATGGAGTCCTCCAGGGTACCATCAGCCATGTTGCCCTCGACGTGGTCTATGAACTCCAGATTGATTGCGGGTCTGAATGAGCAAATTTATTATATTTAACTGCCTCTGTGGCCAAATGGTTTCCATGTTGGTCTGCCACGCAGAGGTCCCTGGTTCGATTTCCGCGAGAAGTCGAAGTCAAAGATTATTTATTCCATAGGTAAAATAAATTTACACTTGAATACGTCACATTTAAGCTACTGCTGGTTCACTACGCTGATCTCCCCGAGAAGAACGGGCAAGAAACTCTAGGGAGTGCTCTTTTCAAATAAACTTAAATGCTATGGAATAAATACACTTTGAATCAAATTTTGTGTGGATTCTGGAGCCGTGTCGTCTTTCCATACATCTTTATCTAACACGTAGTCTTCAATTTTGTAATATGATTCTTCGTTCAAAATATTTTTAATGTAGTTATTAAACTTAGGAAATGATAAACTTAATATACGCTCCGGAATCTTATTGTAAACACGTATACAGTTCCCCATAAAAGAATTGTTTACCTGGGTTAAATGAAATCGTGGTACCATGAGTTTGGACTTAGCTCTAAGGTTAATATTACGGATATCTTCTTTCTTATTGAAATTATGTATATTTTTACGGGCATATAAAATATTTGAGTAAATGTACTGTGATGCCACAGTCACGATACCAATCTCCATAAACTTTTCTCTGAGAGAAACCCGAGAGCCTAGACGGTACACAGAACGAATCGCTCGTTTTTGCAATACAAATATGGTTTGAATATCTGCCGCTTTACCCCACATGAGAATCCCGTAGGACATTATACTATGGAAGTAACTAAAGTAAACTAGTCTAGCAGTACTAACATCGGTAAGCTCACGTATTCTGCGGACTGCGTATGTAGCGGAGCTTAATCTGCTGGCCAGGGAAGACATATGTGGAAACCATTGAAGTTTACTATCTAAGGTCATTCCCAAGAAGACTGCTTTATTGACAAGGTCTAACCTTTCTCCGTTTATTTCTATTCTTGGACTAGTCGATTTTACGTTAGGTAATTCAAATTTAACACATTTTGTCTTCTTGGCATTGAGCAATAAATTGTTAGCATTAAGAGAAATATTTGTATGGCCAACATTTATTTCTCTCTGGAGTTTGGGTGTAATTTGTGGTACTATATCTGTGTGTGTTATTATTATTTTTTTTATTTAAAAACTTACAAAATATGGTTAAGTACATCGTCCTCTGCTGGTTGATAACCGGGCAGTAAGATTCCGGTATATTTGCTGCGATCTATCAAAGTGTGCGTATTATCACCGTACTGTAACAAATAAATAGCTATTCTGTGTGTGATTCAGTTACCTCTATGATAATATTTGACCGACTTCAAAGGAGGAGGTTCTCAATTCAACTGTACGTTTTTTCATATTTTTTGTATGTAGGTAATGTTACGCCATAACTCGGCATTTGTGAACCGATTTGATGATTATTTTTTTGTTGGAAAGATTGTACCTCAGATGGGAACGGGAATGGGACCACCATTTAAATTGGAAGAAAATATTCCACCTCTAAGGGTTGCAAAGTAGGGGATGAATGACTTTTGAGGTCGGTATTTTTAGTACTCTATACTGTATTGTTATTATTCCTACACTTATGTATATTAGGCACAATTATATTCAGCACTTTGTGTTATTTAAGAAGTAGGTAATTATTGTGATAAACTACATAATAAGGGCACAGGTCCGTGCATCATAAAGTACAATCCTTTTGTATAATTTAATAAATGCCAAATACAATTTATGATTGAAAATCAGATAATTTATGTCAGTTGCGCCTTTTGCACTTACTGTATATCCAACAACAATTATTGAATAGATTTCGAGAAAAATAACGTAGATGGGTCTTTTTTCTTGACCCCGAATGTAAATAACTCTATCGTGATAAAAAATTCAATTATACTATAGTATATACTGTTTCTCACTAGTAGATACATTATAAAGCAACAATTATGTATCTCTGAAATATCGTCGGGTATAGTACAAATCCGCTTATGTAGTATTACACTAAACCAAATTTCACAGGAGAGGGATTTAACGTTATTACTTTGTTTTTTCTACGGCTACGACTTTCATTGTTGCACAGTAAGCATTAATTTATGTTGTCTACGAACTGATAATATAGATTCCCGTAAACCACGCTAATTTGGTTACCACGACATTTACGCGGATTCGATTTAGCCGCTAAATTACTGAAATTTATAATCAAACGGAAACTTATAATCCCCGACGATATGTAGTCTTAATTTGATGAATGTTTTTGTTTAGGAACAAAAGTGGCTACTTACTGTCTTTAAAACCGCATATCTCACTTTCCCATTCTCATCTCCTTCCTCAGTGACCCCTTTTACAATCTCCGCTCCTCCTTCTTTAGCCTTCTTCACTAGCTTATCAAGATCCTGCACTGCAAAAGCTACATCTTTCACGAAGTCTCCGTGAACTAATAGATCTTTAGCCATAACGCCTTCAGGGGTAATAGGCGACTCGAATACTATGATTATCTGGAAATGCGTCATTGCTATTATGATTTTAGTAGGCGCTTCTATTGTAATAAAAAAATCACATAGATGACCAGAAATGAGCGGTGAGTTAAAACCCAATCAACTCGCCCGGATTTTAAACAGGTTTTTACCCAAGGGCTTGAACCCATTTTTGCCCAAAATCTAAAATCAGAATTTGGTATAATTCCATGCTTATTACAAATATCGTTGAAAATAAGACGAAAAAGAGGCAACCCCACAGAATACCCAGATCTTGTAATCCCATGGATTCTCACTTATTACTAGTGATGCACATTACGATTCGATTTGTATGAAAATCGATTTAAGTGTAGGTACTTCTACACTTAAATCGATCGAATCAATTCATTTCGCTTCAATAGAAAGACGAAATATGTAAGCAAGCAATAAACATTTTGTAATATTAAAACTTTCTACACACCGAACCCGCCGAACTGGAGTCACAGGGTTGGTGTCGGAGGCCATGTTTCTAGAATCATGTCATAGGATTAGATTAGAAACAAGGCCGCCGACACCAGCTCGTGGCTGTGTCGCCGGGTCGGCGGGCTCGGTATGTAGAAAGCTTAACATTACATTTAGACATAACTCGATTTACGAATATTATAGTTGAAAATAGTATTTGCCCTTGATTTCGGGCATTAATTTGTTTTAACCCGATTATTATCCGGCGTTAATAAAGCCTATCTGGACACGTCAGTGACACTCCGATAGCACTTCCAAATGTTTTATGAAAATTAATAATTTAGCGGGTGCTACGCCACAGACAGTGACGTGTCTCGCGTCTCTCGTGTAGCGCTATCTTTATGCATATAATTTGAAGGTGCTCTTAGCGCGTGCATAAGAAGACAGAACTCGCTTGAAAATATTCGAAATCGACCTTTGTTCCAGTAACGGTCAGGAGTCTATACTACTTCAAATGGTTTTAAAACGTTTTAAAACAATGCTTTCTAATTACTCCTTAATTTTCTTTTTTCCTTTACCTTATTCAACCGGACAGCATAGGACAGCACAGGTCTTTCAGGGGTGGCTTCACACACAGCTAATGGTTTGAACCCGAACCTTGTAATGAAGTAACTGGACGCCTATACAACAGAAACTATAATTTTTTAACCTTATAATGTGAAAATAGCGACTAACCAAAGTTCGAACGTTCCTGATATAATAAAGCTACATGTGACCATAGGTCAAAAGTGCTTTTATCATTCATAAGTCATAAAAGTTATGGGAATTACATGAAACAAATTATGTATATAATGAAGTTTTATACCTAGCTCTTTCTTTTTGTTTTTCGTGACGGGAGGAACAAGTTGTTCGCCTAGTCGAAAACGATAAGCCTGTCCATAACAGTTGTAGTGTCAGTTAGAGCTTTAAATCGCAAAGATCTGAGGGGCACTCTCAGTGCGTCCGTCTTCTATTGAAGCATAGTAACGTTATTGACTACTTTCGTTCGTAGAATTTTTAAACCTCATCATTTTAGGTGCGAATATTTAATTAGATATTTAATTTTGTCGTTTTATGCATATTTTGACATACTTAACTATGAAAATAACTGTTGATTGCAAGTTGAATACAACTTCGTCTGATATTTTTAACCGACTTGATAAAAAGGAGGAGGTTCTCAATTAGATTTTATTTTTCTTTGTACGTTACACGATAACTCTTTTAAAAAATGTGAACAGATTAAGATGATTCTTTTTTTGTTGTAAAGAAAAATTTAAAATTAGAAGAAAATTTTCCACCTCAAAGGGTGGCAAACTGGGGGATGAATCCGGTTTCGCGCATCCGGTGACCGATTTCAATGAAACTTGGCAAATAGATTCCATTTGATTACCTACATACTGATTCCACGAACTTAAGGTCGTTTTGTTTAGTACTATATACTGAGATGTTCTTTACACGTTAAATTAAGAACCAAAATATTTAACATGAACTCACCGTTTTAGCATTGGCAACCCAAAAGACGAGATGGTCAAAATTCAGCACCTTCCCTTCGCCTTGTTGTTGTTGTTGTTGTTTGCTAGTATTTTTACCTTTCGTCATTTTGTCTGAAAATGTGTTAATAATAGTTTAAATCTTTTTTTAAAGCTTTTTCTTTGTCAGTCTTTATTTTTGAGAGGCAAAATCAAGGTACAACGTATTGTACGCTTCACATAGAGGTTTATAAAATGAAATCCAATTATGTATTTGTTCCGTTTATGACTTCGTATTAGTTTTTAACTTTTTACAGTTATTCAATTTCTTTATCTGCTTATTGGGGTGCTGGTTCCTACACTTATATATAGTAGTGAAGGTTTGGCTTGAAGAAGCACGAAGTAGAATTAATGCAGTAGAAATGGAGCTTTGAGAAGTATGGCTGGAGTGACTGTGATGGATAAACTACGGAACAGTGTGATAAGAGAGCGTTGCGGCGTAGAAGATGTAAAGAGAAGACAAAGATAGAGAAAGGGATGCTTAGATGGTTCGGACATGTAGAGAGAATGAATGAAAATAGATTGACGATACAGATTTATAAGGCGAGTGAGAGCGGGGTATTTTAGTATGAGCCGACCAAGGCCATCCTAAAGAAGGGCCAGGTCAAGAAGTACCCTTAGCTGACGGGCGTGTATGAAAGCACTGATGCATGTTGTAGCTGCAAAAGATGTATGTCAGGACCGTAGCAAATGGAAGACTGTTGTTTTTGCCTACCCCGATACGAAAAAGGCGTGAAGTATATGTGTATGTGTGTTTATCTACTTGTCACTAACACGATATTAACACAAAGGTTTACTATCCTGTTTTTGCTCTTAATTCACCACAAGGTCCTCGAAGGCGGTGTGGTAGCTAAAATTTTTTGCTTTGTTTTTGAGGAAAATCCTCACTGAGCCACAATTTATCTGGTTTACTGGGTTACGCAATCAGACACTGTTTTCATTTTTTCACGTATTTTAATTTTGTTTTTTGTCGCTCGTTTGTTTTTTATTCCCAAAGTTAATTTTAATTTTTGTTTGTTTCTATTTTGTTCCTTTTGTTGCATAATATTATTACATATGAAGTTTAGCATTTTTTTCAAAAAATATTAAAATCATGTAGAAAACTTCTATCAAACAATGATCAAACATTAGAATTCCACTTTGAAGGTTTTTTTTGGACTTACTTTAGATGCGATGCATTGAATTCTTATTTACGCATTGAAGTTTTAATTTAAAGTTTCCGATATTTATAGAAACGTTTGCAATCTGTAGCTATAAAATTTTATAAAAGCAGTATGTCTGTAAGTCATTATTAATATGTACCCAAGTAGATTTACACATAAAGCCCGTCACAGACGATGAAGGGTAAGGTCGGGCAAAAAGGTTATGGTGGCCGAAAAGAGTATTTCAATATTCTCTGTTTTTTTTATATTATTATTGTATTATATAGCCATTGACTTACAATTATATGGACGTCGGGTACGCGCTAAAAAGTGTCCGCACTTGTAAGGCGCTAAAATCGTATACAGAGCGCCAAACTCCGCTTTAGTCTTCATTTGTTCGACTGACAGCGCGATACTGCGATGACATTACAATTTAAATTTCGAATAGGTTGACTTGGGACATTTTTTTCGTGGTTTTTGTATTAGACCCGTCGTCCATTTATTTGTAAGTCAATGGTTATAGCACTCCAATTTAAGCATGGGGTACTGACGCGAAAAAATTTTTAGCGGAAATCCGGCGACGGCTAAGAGAGAGTGGAGATACTCTCGCGCCGGGTTGTTCTTGGCGCAAAGATTGTCCATTGCCATACAGCGAGGAAATGCGGCAAGCGTGATGGGCACCTTTGCGTCGGGATCAGTCAGGGACAGGCTTTTTGACGAGTGTGAGCACTGAGGCATGTAATTTGTAATTTCTTGATTTATTTAAACTATTTGTTATTCATGACTATACTATGTATTAAAAATAAACTTGATTAGTGTCATTTAAGCATAAAAAAAAGTTGTCCACTAATCTCGTTAGTAGAATTTTTTAATCACTCCCCCGAAAGTTGTAATTTTGCAGATGTGTCCTTATTACACCAAAAGTGGGATACCAGTAGGGCAGGCACAATAGGGCGTGCCTTGCGCGAGAGCGACATACAGCGTGTGATTTCTATACCCGAATAGCAGTATCTCGCGCATTATGTCGCTCTCGCTCAAGTCGTGCTTTATCGTGCTAGCCCTACAGGTAGAGCTACGGCGACCGGTAGCGACTTGCGTGAGAGCGACATAAAGAGCGAGATACTGCTATTCTCGCACATAGTCTGTCTTTTTTAAGGAGTAAAACGACAGTTCTTGCATAAAAGGGTTGCCCCCTTGCGAGTAACTAGTGATTGCAGTCGATAAATATTCTATCGACTATCGACTGAATATTGGTCAAGCTTATGGGATAAATAGCCGAACTTGATTCATTTCAATCGTCCTTGCGCCATTATTCGTTCAATTACTGAGCACAGTTCATTTGAAATGTCAATTTTTGTAACTTCATACATATATACATTGTATTGAAAACTAGGTCTACGAAAAGAACAAAGAGGAGTTGTTCAGTTTTACCGTATCCGCAGCACCCTCTAGGTTGTAGCTAAAAACCAGCGGTTTGCTCCTGAGTAAACACCGACGCTATGGCCTTTTTGTACTGCTACAGCTCACATACATAACTGGGTGTTCGGCAGTGCTGCGACTTTGCTGGTTTTTTTTATTATATCACATATTTTTCTGTTACATTGCATATTACATACTGTGTATATTTAAATTCAATTTCGAAAAATTCGCTCATTCTTGTTAAAATGTATATGAATAGTAATTGATTTCGATATTAGTAGAAAAACTGTCAAAATGATAACAAATAAGACAACTCAATTAGTAATCATTACAGCGTTGTAACATTCACAATTAAGTATTTTATTGGTAAAACTTTATATTCTTTAACAATCTATCGATAAAACTGTCGACAACAGCCACATGACTATTTAAAATTGTAAGAAAATTGGCAACCCTGCAAATGTCATTTTACTCCGTCTTCAAAAAAAAAAAGACTATACAGATCTCGCGCTATAAGTCACTTTGTTGCGCTGTGGTGTGATAGCTCCACAGCTACAGGTGTACCAACTAGTTTAATAGGTATAACGAAAATACGTGATTCAAATACAAATGGTCAATAATCACAATCGTAAGTAATTATTGTATTTACAAATAGAACGAGATTTCCTTGAAGGCAATTGCCTATCATTAGGTAAGGACAGGCAAAGTAATGAAAATTATACATCTCAGTTTGTTCTTAACTCTCTGTGAATTAAATTAAGTATCTATCTATAATACCTTTTTGAATTTGAATAGTTTAACTATTTTAAAAATGAGCAGGATCTCAATTCGGCTACATTTTTTTTGTGTGTACGTTACGTCCGATTTCGCACACTTTTCGGTAATCGATTTCAATAAAACATGGCAAATAGATGTGCTTCCACGAACTTGTGAGTTCGGTTTCTTTTATAAAGACTTATAATTATATTAGTACAGAATTCGACGATCTTGGCGGCCCAATGACTTGCAATGTGCACGTTGATGAGCACGTCCCGGGTTCGATTTCCGGTAGGAGCAATTTGGGAAATGAACTTTTCTAAATTCGTTATGGTCTGCGTGTTCTAGGTAGCGCTGAGGGGCGAATTTCTTTGCTATGGTACTCATATTACATTGAACTACCTAGTTTGTAATGTTATTGACGTGGTTGTCTAGACGTTGTTGCTATTAATTTGCTGTACAATTTTATGATCAATACCGCTGTAACAATAGTCGTATACCAAACTATCCCTTCAATTCAAATTTGATCGTCTAATAGGAACCTAAGTGTAGGTACTATTATAATTATTAATACAAAGATGGAACACTCAGAAAAAATTCCTTCGATCCGGCCGGATTCAAACCGACGTCTTCTAGCATACCGAGCCAAACGCTATAGAACGAACCAGCGGACCTCACGAATTTTTTTATGTGCTTGTGTCGTATCTTTGTATTTCGTTTTTCAACGACTTTTTAGCCGTAGCGCCATCTATGAGAAATCTATGACATTTCGTTACCCAGTTAGATACGTTTACAGCTACCAGCCCCGGCTAGAGAAGTCGCTATTCATTGTATTTAAATTTTTCTTGAATTGATTATTTTTAGGTGAAATTACTCCACTAGTTTTTTATAATTAGATGAAAAGAACATGGTGTTGGTACATTGACTTACAAATAAAGTTGGTACTATATTTTTTTCATGACACAAGTGACGGGACGAACAAGTCCTGCACCTGGTGGTAAGCGACACGCCGTTCATAACAGTTACAGTGCCAGTCAGTTTTAAATCGCTAAGGTCTGAGAGGCACTGCCACTGTGCCCGTCGCCCTGAGACATAAGTTGAAAGGTTGTACACTAAGATTCCAACTGATTACGAGGCTTAAAACTATTGTGAAACAGAAACTTTATACAAAAGGTGTACAATGAATACTTGGATGACAAAAATCCGCGGTAGTGACCCGTTTTGCTTTTTCAGGTATTATTATTGATCTAAGCTGTTTAAATTAAATAGACTTATATATATAATAGACTTCAAAACTTGAACGGGGTAATGTGAGCATTACTGCTTGGCGGCAGAAATAGGTAAGGTGGCAGTACTTCCCTGGACGTACTCTTTGTCAAGGACCTCTACTGCTACTATGATTACAACTATTTTTTCTTTTCCCCGTACTTTCTCGAAAACTCCATAGGTACACACATGAAAAGTGTTTAGGGATCTAGCGCATTTTTGCTAATTACTGAAAATCAGGTTTGTTAATGATTTTTTTGACACCAATTGGTCAATATCATTTTCAAATTCAAATTCTAAAATTGAATTTAAAAAATTCATCGGCTTTTTTTTTGTAAGAGTACGATTCTTGTATTAATAATTATATCAAACTAGTGGGAGTAATTTCACGAAAAAATAATTGAATATCACGGTGGTGAGACATCCTGACGTTCAATAAACCTAATTAACAACAAAACCATTGGTCTTTGTATTAATAATTATAACA